AGCCCTTGGCTCCGATCTGTGCCCTGCTGAAGGCTTTTTCAAGGTCAGTGCGAGTCCAGAAGCCCCCACTGCTGGAGAGGCAGCATCGTATGCTGTAAAATTCTGCTTTCGACTTCTGACCATCAACGTCCAGACCCTCGAGGATGGCCAGGGAGATGGTGTACCGGGGAGAATTCGGTATGTCCGAGAGCAACTTGAAGCGTGTGGGGCAGTTGTTGCCGGTTTGCAGGAAACCAGGGCAAAGGAAACGTCGACCAGTGTCTCTGAGACGCACTACAGGTATATCTCGGCAGGAGATGCTCGAGGTAATGGAGGTGTTGAGCTATGGTTTAGCCGGACCCTACCTTTTGCTTGGTCGGGTGATGTTCCGCTCTATTTCCATAGTCAAGATTTTCGGGCACTTGCCTGGATCCCCGATACCTGATCCTACGTTTTGCCAGAGGAGGCACCCGCATCACCTTCGCAGCAATACATGCCCTTTCTGCAGTTCACCCGGATCGGGTATCCTGGTGGACACAGTTCCGCAACAAGTTGCATTCGTGCGCTCAAGGTGATTATGTTGTAATTATTGGTGATTTCAACACAAGGTTCTGCGAAGAATTACCGTCGCGAATCGGAGATCTTGTGTGGGACTTTGACCACATCGTCCCAGGGCCACTGATTGACATGTTACACCGGCACGATTTGTGGCTTCCTGCCACCTACAGCGCTTGCCACCATGGCGCCAGCCACACTTGGATCTCGCCAAACGGCTCTGCCACTAGTCGCATCGATTATGTTGCAGCGCCTGCCTCCTGGCATGCTGGTTCAGCAACCTCTTTTGTCCTTTACGACATTGACTTTGGACAAACAGGGTTGGACCATTATGCTGCAGCCCTTGACTGTCAGTTTGAAGTCTGGGATTCTCTTTGCACTCCTGCCAGGCAGCCTCAATGCGATGTTTTTCTGATGTCCCAGCCTGAAGCTTGTGAGCAATTGCGGTCCATCTGTCAAGCTGCTCCACTGCTGCCTTGGAGTCTAGATGTTCACGTGCACTATGAACTCCTTGCCAACTATTTTAGGACCAGGCTTTCCGCTGCATTTCCTGTGAGACGTGCACGTTGCCGTCGGTCCCACTTTTCTACGACAACGTGGGAGCTGCGACAGCAAAAGGTTTGGCTTCGCAAGCGCCTGCATGCATCCGCCCATTGGGCGAGGACCGTTGAGCTCCGCGGGGCCTTCCACGCCCTTTGCTCTCGATGCACTTTTGTCGGACTTCTTCGGCCACTCATACCGTCCCTTCTGCAGTGTGTCCTTGAGATTCAGCAGCACCTTCAGGAACTGAGGTCCCTCAAGCCTTTGCTTAAGCGCTCCATTGTTGGTGATCGCAGTCGTTACCTGCATGAAATTGCAAACACTGCCATCAACAGCACCACCAAGGATGTTGTTGCACGACTCCGTCCCCTGCTTGGACCTCCCAAAAGGAAGCAACGCGGTACCTTGTCTCTTCCTGTTGTCGAACTTGAGGATGGCTCTGTCGCTGCTGATCAGGCCCAGGCAACTGCACGATGGGTCCGGCACTTCAGCCATCTTGAGGATGGTGGTCCCACAACTTCGCAAGCCCTGCTGCAGCAATGTAGGACTCGCCAAGCTTCACAGGATCTGTCGGACCTCACACTTGATCACCAGGTTGTCCCCTCCCGTTGCCTTCTCGAGGACTGCTTACGGCGCTCACCGACTGGCAAATCGCAGGGAAACGACTGCATACCTGCTGATCTTCTTCATCTCCAGGCCAGTTCGGTTTCCCTTCCGCTCTTTCAGATTGCACTCAAAGCGTCCTATCGCTTGGCGGAGCCCATCCAGTGGAAAGGAGGGCCTCTTTTCGCAATTTGGAAACGAAAGGGTTCCATGCGGCAGTGTGAGTCGTTCAGGGGGATACTTGTGTCCAGCGCTCCCGGAAAGGCTTTTCATTGTGCCCTGCGGCGTAAAGCTGCTCCTCTCCTTGAAAATGTTGCTGGCAGCCTACAGATAGGCGGTCGGCCTGGATATCCGGTCCAGTTGGCCAATCACACAGTGCGCTCATTCCAGAGCTACTGCCATGAGCAAGACCTGTCTTGCGCTGTTGTCTTCTTAGACCTTAAGGAGGCATTCCATCGCGTCGTGAGACCGTTGCTTGTCGGAGGTCCTCTTGACGATGCTCACGTCGCTGGCATTTTGCACACTCTGCACTTCCCGGCAGACGCTTTTGAGCGACTTCAGACCTATGTTCGGGATGCTCCCATCTTCTCGGACTCTGGAGCTGATCCTTGGCTCTCTGGGATCCTGTCTGAAGTCCTGAGTGACACCTGGTTCACTTGGGAACGCACCTCCTCTCTCGCCACTGTTAGAGGGGGAACACGTCCGGGTGATAATCTTGCGGATCTCTTATTTAGTTTCCTCTTCGCTGAGGTATTGTCTCGCATCCGACAGCGACTCCGCGACCTTGATCTTCACTGCCAGTTCGCTTGGAGCCCTGACTGGAAGGCTGTGCTGGCCAAGTCGAGTACTGGCTCATGCACTATGTCTCCAGTCGACGTCACCTGGATGGACGACTGTGCTCTGCAGTATTTCTCTTCCTCTGCCCTAGCAGTGCTTGAAGGCACAAAGAGAATTGCAGCCATCATGATAGATGAGTGTATTCGGGCAGTTTTGATGCCAAATCTTGGCCCTGGCAAAACCGAGACAGTTCTTTCCTTGCGGGGCAAGGGTGCACGAACTTTAAGGGTCCAAGCTCTTGCCGGCACTGGTCCCAGCCTTGTCCTCCCTTCGGAGTTGTGGCCAGAGTCGAGGTTGAGGGTTGTTCCCCGGTACTGCCATCTAGGTGGAGTCGTACATCACAGTGGTGCGCTTCGGCCTGAAGTCAAGACCAGAATTGGGCATGCTTGGACCGCTTTCAGGAAACACCAGAAACGGGTTCTCGGTTCCCCCTTTGTCACAATTCGTGACAAGTCTGTGATTTTCGAGTCTGTTGTGCTGTCCGCGCTCACCTTTGCCACCGGCACATGGTCTGTTTCTCGAAGCGAGGACATTGCTCCGATTCAACATGCACTGCTTCAGATGGCACGCATCATGTTGAAGCCAGTGTATACTTTCGAGCAAGCGTGCCATTTGCCTCACTCTTTTGTCTTTGCCATCGCCAGGATTCCACAAGTTGCGACGCTTTTTCACATTGAGCGTCTTCGGCACCTTTCCCTCCTTGTTCGGCTTGGTCCTGACGAACTCTGGGCCATCTTGCATGCAGAGGAGACCTGGCTTCGGCTTGCCGAGGACGCTGTCGCCTGGCTCATCGCACAGCTAGCGAGAGCCGAACATCCGGGTCGCCCCTCATCTTGGGAGGAATGTCTGAGGGTTATCCGGACTTCCCCTGGCAAATGGAAATCCTGGATCCGAAATGCCAGACAGGTTGCGCTTCTTGAGGATCGCTGGACAGCTGAGGTCCAGCTTTTCCACGGGCACCTTCTACGTGCCCTCACACATGTTGGGGCTTATAGCTCTTCGCTGACCCAGCCTGCTGCTTCTAGTGCCGAAATTTGCGCAGTCTGCCAACAGTGCTTTGCAGACCTTCGCTCGTGGTCACATCATGCTTTTAAAAGGCATGGACGCATTCGGCCCGAACGACATCTTGCCGATGGCTCGCAATGTCCTGTTTGTCTGCGGACATTCGCAGCGAATGGTAGACTTTGTAACCATTTGCGTCACAGCCGCCGCTGTCGGGATGCACTTACGGCTGCCCAGCATTCTGTCCAGCCTATGCCTGGGAAAGGTTCCAGGGGTTTCGACACTGGTGAGGATGTGCTTGTTCCGGCCATGCAGGCTTCTGGCCCGTCCAAAACATGGAGCTTCGATCCCCTTGTCCAGGAACCCGACCAGCCCTCTGAGGAGGTTTTGGCCCGCTTAGAATCTGTTCTCTGTCATCCCGAGGATGTTGACTCTTATGCCAACCTCCTGGAACAGCTCCGCCTCGCCTTCTGTGTTGCATGCCTTCAACGATCGCGCCTACATGCCACGGCGCAGGCTTGGAAGGACAACCTGAATGCACTGCTTGCTTATGATGAGGACTGGCCAGTCCTGTGGGCTGTCTGGCACACCAAAGCTGCCCACTTCCTTACCTCTACCGATCTTGTTGCGTGGCTTGTTCCCGAGGTGACTACTAATGCGGCCAGCATTAGTACCTTCAGAGACGCCTCCACAGTCTTGCCCTGGCTTGATTTTCACCATGCTGTACTGCCACCCTGGTCTGGCGATCGGATTGAGGTCTCTCTCGCGTTTTCTGCAGATGATGACCTCTCCTCAAGGCACCCTGGGATTGCTGTTCGGCTTCACTCTGCATGCATTGCAGAACCCAGTCTTCTGGACTTTCGGCAGCTATGCCATCAGGTCGATGGGACCGTGATCATTTGTGATGCCCGTGGCATCCTCCCTTCGACCCGGACTCCTTTTCCTCTGAGGTCCTTTCCTGGTCTTGAGGCCCATCTTCAAAGGCTTCGACTATTTGGGGACCTTGTTCGGGGTGTCCTTTTTCTGTGGACCCAAGGGGCTGGTGCCATCCTCCTTGTCACTGGACTTGACTGTCCTGCACTCGGAGCTCTATCTGCCCTAGCTCCACATTGCTTGAGCCTTCCCAATGGACTTCTACTGTCCAACTGTCCTTTGAGCTCGGCTCTCTCTGCATTTGTCTCACCTCTTAATTAATGCAAGTCGAATATCGGCTGCGTCCGACTGGACTCATTGCCTGGAAATGCGAAATGCGAATGCGTGCAGATACGTCAAGCATAGCGTATGCGAGTACATCTCACTCTACGTGTGAACACATGTATGCACATGCATGTGTGTGTGTGTGCGCGTGCGTGACATGTCTTTACATGTGCATGATTTTCGCATTATCATAAACGCAAGTACATAAATAGGTCCCCGCATACCTGCATACCTACTTACATGTCAGACTCCCCCACCCCCCCCACAGGACACTAGAGATGCAAGGCCTCGTCAAAGTCAGATCGGCGAAGGCCCTCGTAGCGGTATGCGAAGGATGTCAGTCCCAACCTCAGAGAATTGAGGCTCGGAGAAACTTCGCAGTGGTCAGTTTGCTGTTGCTGTTGCCGTTTCTGTTGCTTTTGGTGGTGGTGGTGGTGGTGGTCGTCGCAGACGTCGTAGTCGTCGTGGTGGCCGTGGGAAAACTATGACCTTTCTGAGTTCTGTTCTGAAGATGACCAACGGCTAGCGAATAGTGAATGCCATCGTCATCGTCAGTTAGATTGTCCTGAATCACTTTCAGAGATGTCAGAGGTTTTGGATGCTGTGGACGGAAGCACCCAATATCTTGTTTACGGTGCCTTTACTAGCTGTCAGACTTCGACCCATATTGCTCCTTAGGATGAGCAGAGTCTCACAAATGTAAAAGTTGCAATGCTACTTCTGGTTGTGTGCCTAGCATTTCGCTTCGAGCGGATCTGCCAAAGGTACCTCGAATCCAAGAACAAGGTCGTCGGTAATCTGCGAAGGTTCATACCATACCCTCGAAGAGGCTCAGGATTGTTGACCGTGATAGATGACATGGCAACAGGCATAGTAGCCGTAGCATGTAGAGCATAGCTTCAACAATAGCAATTTCCGTGTAAGAAAACCATCACAATGATGATGAGTGAACAGGCGGTAACTGTCAACCAAATGGTGAATTGCTTAGTCGCAGTGCTGACGTGAAAAGGTCACAACAGTAGTAGTGGCACTCGCAAGACGAATTTGCGATAATTAACATCAGCGTGAAAAGGAATCAGATCATAAAAAGCGGCACTCCGATACAATTCGAAGATCTAAGGCCGCTTCACAATGTCTGGATGCGCGAACTCTGAGCTCTGAGATGGAACGTCCTTGCCTCTGCGGAAGGCATCTCTCTAAGCGGCCGTGCACACTCTCCCAAAGCTGACCTCTACGGTTGTGGATGCAACTGTGTTCATTGTTGGGCCAGTGGATCCATTCCGTAAAGCCATTAGACATTGCAACAGTACAAGTGCTCGTGCAACTGATGAGTGTAGAGATGTCGACGAGAATCTGCAGGATCTGCGACCACTTCCGAATTGTGCCAACATGATCCAGACATGCCATCAGTAAGTCTGCAAGCCGGTGCCGGCCAACCTGACTGAAACCCCTACGACCCTGAATCCTCCCACATTCTACATCCTTGAGCGCAGAAACCAAGCCTCCGGATCATAGCGCATCACTTGATGTCTGTTTCGGGTCGTCACTTGCATGCACCATCCACGCACCTAGACTGCCACACCCAAGCTCAAGAAGGACATAGATCCAACAACTCAACGTTCTAAGCCGTCGGATGCAAGGAAACGATTGCCTGTAGGCTTCTACACGCGGTTTGAGAAACCGCCTCGAAATCGAAGTTCCCCCTAGCAGTCTTGCGAGATGTGTGTTGCATCTTAAAGTTCGGCCATGAAGCCATCGACGGCGTGCACATACATACATACATGCATACATGACATACATACGTACATACATGCGTACATACATTACATACATTACATACATACATACATACATACATACATACATACATACATAGCATGCATACATGCATTTACACATATTCACATATTCACATATTTGTCTGCTTGTCTATATGTCTGTCTGTCTGCCTCTGTCTGTTTATGTAGGTGTTCGTTTATCTGCGTATCTATCTATCTATCTGTCTATCGTCTCTCTATTTGTCTAACTATACAGCACAGTTTCATGTAACCCCATCTATGATTATGTCCATAACATTCACGGCTCACTCAGTCAAGCTCATGGAGGCATCCCACAGAAGGCCTACAAATGGGATGGCCAGCTTGGAGCGCGTGAGGGGCATCAAAGGCTGCTCGGCGAGTGCTGCCTTCACCTGATGCAGGTTCGGAGCTTTAGGCTTGGTTTGTTTGATCGGTATCTTTTCCGTCCACCTTAGCCTCATGTATAGGTTAGGATTTCGGGGTTGCGGTTCTGGACAATCAGGGTCCGGAGCCCAATCGAGACACACAATCATAAGTATTTCCAAATACAGCGCCCCATTGGTGATCGGATGGTTTGGCGGAGTCGTGCTCCTAAGCGAAGCCGGCTTGAAAGACTGAGGTTGAATCCGTGTTGCAGGCATCCTTGGCAACATGTCTTGATTGGTGTTGTCTTGTCCGTTTTGGTATCGATGAGTTTGGTGTTCGCCCACATGCTTGTACACTACAACAATAGTCAAGTTGTCCGCTGCAAATAAAACGCAGACAAAAGTAAAACGCATACGACCAGTAGCGTTGAACCTCAGCTTCATGATGCTATGGTTTGGCGCCATCTAAGCCCGAAACGCTACCACACCCGAGCTGTGAAACTTGGCTTTGGTGCTTTGGTTGAGGACGGTTGGTATGTTTTTGCTGGACAGTACCAATAACTACCCAAAATCGCAAGGTATCCTCTACCTTATTTCTCGTTTAGGTTCCGCTATGTCTGCAAACCTGCTAACAGCAGGATGTAGGGCGGGCTCTCAAGCACGTGGAAAGCCAAGGTCAATTCCCCGAGATGACAGATAGCAGCGCTGGGAAGGTTCCCTGAGCCAGGACGACCCGAGGTAGCACTCACGCTGAAACCCCACTCACGCTGGAATCCCCATCATCTTGAAGACCAGCAACCCAAATCGTGGGAGGCTTGCAGCAGCTCCCGTAAGGTTTCCACGCATTGGCCATTTGCTCAGTCTACCAGCGATCCTCCCAGCATAAACCCTCGCGGTGCTATTTCGTGGCTTAGAGCTTATTTTACGGCCCGGGGCACGGAAGCCTGCTCATCAGTCATGATTCCGAAGGTCACGCGGTCAATCTTCTGCAGGCCTGAGACGAGTGAAAGCTCCCGGCATCGAGACACGAAGAAGTCAAGATTGGATCATTCTATCGCCCTGCTATGCGTGGAGCAGAGTTCATGAACGAGGCTGCTAAGTTCAGTGTCCGTGTCGACTCTTGTGCTAGGCTCGGAAGCCAGAAGAGTCGGAGAGGGAGGTTCGGAGAAAGCAAACGAACCCAGACCCACACAACCGCAGGCCACGGTAGAATGTTGGAACACCGCACCCTCCACTTGCGGGAGTATGGCTTGCCGCTCGTGCAAACTTGAAGTGCACCGTTTGCACATGAGTCCCCGACAGTGTGGCAGGAATGTTGCGAGCCTGAAGCATCTTGCAGGCAAAAAGCTGTTGGCTTCAATCCGAGTGTGTTTGTACATGACAGCTAACAAACAAACTCTAACGCAAACCCAGCCAAGACTCTTAGCCAAGGGGCAGGCCCGACTGATAGGCTACAACGCTACTTCTCACACGCACCAATCCTGGCATCAACCGACACTAGGCCACAGCTGTTTGACGTGAATGTTTTCTCTGACTCTCGCTACAAAGCCATGGTCTGGCAAGAGATCTAGGATTTCTGACGCCACACGGACACCCACACCATGCTGGCCACACCGCTGTGCAAGCATTCTACCGCTTGACTGAACTTGAAATTCTGTGGACATGACGGCAACCGGATCTTGGGGAAAATAGGAAGGAGCGACAAATGTCCAGGAACTTTGCAGCCAAAGAGGACTAGTGACTAGTTAATAATAGTGCTTGAATTATGCATGCAGCATCTGGAGAGCCTTTCCTGTTGAAACATGGATTTAAAAGTACCGGACAGTATGCCCAACGTCGTAGGTCCTGGGCCTGGGCCCCATTCTCTAGATTGAGTAGCCCCAAGTCTACATCGCGTAAGCCTCGACCTTAGACTAGCCCCCAACATCCTGCTGAGCTTCGCACCACTCCCCGCCCAGGTTCAGGGTCTGCACATCTTTGGCCGGCAGCCTGTCCACACCTTGACGAAGGTGCCACCAACAGTCCCCCTACATTGAGCATGACTGACAGCCACATACAGAATTTCCATTTGCGGTTGATATCGTTGCAATAGTCATTTCGAGGATCTCGTGGAAGTGGCTGTGATAGCGAAGGTGGCGCGGGCGAAGATGGCAGGGAGAGAGCAGCCCGAATGTGATAGATGGTGGCAGTAGCAATAGCGATGTTGGTGAGGTTGCTGCTGCTTCTGTTGTTGGTGGCGGTTGGCGGCGGCCACGGTGGTGGTGGGGGCGGCGGCGGCGATAGTTCTTTTCGCGTTAATCTTATGGACTACCGGCTACTTGCTACCAGTACTTATTCATTACGCACTACTCACTCCTCCTCCTCCTCTTCCTCCTCCTCCTGCTACTACTATTCCAACTCCTACTCCTACTGCTACTCCTTCTCCTACTGTTCTTCCTATTCCTATTGCTACTCCTACCGCTGCTCTACTGCTCTGCTGCTCCGCTGCTCTACTACTGCTCCACTGCACTACTGCTCTACTGCTGGAATGCTCTATACTGCTCTACAGCTCTCCTGCTACTGCTATGCTACTGCGACTGCTACTGCGACTGCGACTACTGCCGCGACTGCTGCTGCGACTGCTGCTGCTACTACTCCTACTCCTCCTGCTGCTGCTCTAGCTACTAATACCTCATATTTACACTCACACACACACACAGAGACAGAGACGGCCCCCTGACTTGAAAGCTTGGCCATCGGGCGTTCCAGCCGGTTCTGCAGTGCCGCCTGTGTCTCGCGGAATCTGAGGACCACGTCTGAGCCATTCGGAAGAGTCGTGACCTTCCAGACGTCTTGTGTACATGAGACACATGGCAGCAGAACAATTACAGCACTCGCAAGGATTCTCAGAATGGAGTCGCTCCCTGCAGAGAAAAGCTTATACACCAGGAACACTAGCAACAACAAACTTCATATCAACAAAAACACACAGACTGCGGATGATTTTAGGGTGCTTGGTCATGATCCTACAACCACGAGCCCCAAGAAGGTGTCCAGACTCCAAATATCATACATGCCATGTGTTCCAGGCACTGATTAGCACGATTCCTGCATTCATCCCCTGATTGCCACCACCACCACCACCACCACCACCACGGCTGGTGCTGCAAAGACGGTTGCGACTACTGCCATGGCTGTTGTTGCGAGTCGCAGTTGCGAGTGTAGCCATTGCCCCCCTGGTCGCCTTGTACTCCGAGAGCAATGCCAGGCCCCTCTTCTCCTTGGGCACCTCGGCACGACTCCAAAACCCCAAGCTGCCCCAAGCACCAAGCAGACGGAGGTTAGAATCAAACATGTGCAAGAAACGCTTACGGAATCAACAAAAACACAATCTCAAACTCTGTCCATGCCGAATGCAGCAAAGTCCGAAAATCACAAATCCTCCACCTGCCAACAGCCGAACCACCAACCCGACAGCCGGAGAACTAAAACTTTTCTGAGCTTCGGGCAAGCTCTGGATTGAAAGTGCCCTCCTTGCCCGAGCTGCCGCTAGCCAGCATCTCCTGACAACTGAATGGAAGTGGTTAACTTCTGAGTTTGAAACTCAAAAACCGCATGACCTCGAGAAAGCCGACATGTTGTTATTCGAGATCCCGAAGCAACTTGGGGCAACCTTGAAACCGGCAAAGCAGCCATTGCACTGGGATAAGTCCCATTAAACCTTCAAGTGCGGTTGCCTTTGAAAGTCTACTGAGTCTACTGGAAGGATTCGGGTGGGGAGTTCATGGCTGCTGAACTTGTTGCTTGCGGGATGGTGGTTGTGGTTTCCCTGCCCCGTCTGAGCAAGAATGCTAGATGGACGTGTGGGCCCCAAAGCGCTCACCGGCCCATGCTCGGAGCAACCCAGCACCATCGATGGCTTCAGCCCTACGTGTGGTCAAACCCTCACCGGAAGCCAACGCCATCAAACCGGGTCGGTGCTCCTGCAGCCATGGCGTCTCAGATGCCTGGCAGAACATGCTACGAGTACTCAGCCTTGCCTCTGCAGCCTTGCATTCCCTTCTTGGGGCTCTGGCTTTAGGGTGCTGAGCTTCCTTGGGCGAGTTCGAGGCCGCTAAACTCAGAGCGGAAGCTACCGTCCCAACACGAGAAACCGCCCAATACCCTCGGGACACAGCCCTTGAACACGCAAAGCGAAACTGTGTAGATGCCTATGATCACCTACATCATCGTGTTGTTTCCCTTCAGAAGGGTCTGTTCATCTGCATCACCCGCTTCATCATCGGCAGCGGCATCGCCACGAATAAGCGAACAGTTGACATCAAGGACCAAGAACCGTGACAAGAAGCAGCAACAACACGACAGCAAAGACAACCACTAACTTTTAACACTGGAGCTTGTCACAGGCTCAGCGTCAGAACATCTCGCGCACGCAGACTAGCACCGAGCCACAAATATTTGACATACACCGATATGGCATCATGCACAGACGGCGCGGCACGATGAGACCAGACGCACCTTGCCCTTAGCCAAATCGTCCCCAAAAGCCAGCAGCGGCCGAGTTCGGGACCCACACGTCCCACTCCGCTTTGCTTCCGGTGATACGCACTTCAACCGCGTTCGTACGGGTCATCCTCAAAGGGCATGGACTCTGGAAGAGCTTTCGAGTTCTGCACTTCAGAACGCTGTCTCGGTCTTGTTTCCCTTGCTGCCAAAGTGTCACGTAGTCGAGGGTAATGAGAACATCCGGCATATCATAACTGGGTACGCTGTAACATCAAAGACTCAAGGACCATACATAGCAGAGGTAAAAATGGCCATGATTGCGCTCGTCCATTGTGGCAAAAGCTTACCCCTCGTACCTTAGCTTCCCGGCTAAAGCTTCGGCCTGCATCGGTAGTGCATACGGCATAATTACAGCAACTATAACTACCAAAAACCACAAACCTTAAGCCACGAAGCTCCACAATGCGGAAGCTTGATCTAGGGGGTAGCAACTGGAATAGTCTTCGGGCTTCTCTGGTATACTTATCGAGGGACTCTCTGAGGGGATATCTCTACTAGATACTCATACCTCTAAACTTCAAGTGCAGAGCACACCACTCCAAGGGCCCGACAGATAGGCCGTGATCTCCTCCTCTGTGAGTCCCCGGTCCGTCGGGGTGAAGCCCTCCTCGAAGACCCGACCTCAAAGAACATGATGCTGTGTAACATGACCTCAGGGACGCGATTATCTATCTATGTATGTACATACATATATATATATATATACAGAGAGAGAGAGAGAGAGAGAGAGAGAGAGAGAGAGAGAGAGAGAGATGTAGATGTTGCCTCATGTGGCCGATCGCCACAAGAATGTATGCTTCTTCACCCTCGAAGGTTGCTTATTACTCGTGGTCCGACATTGGCATACATTATCTGACGTCGGAAGTCGTGGCGAACTCTTGGATACTGTATACCATCAAGATTTCAGTAGTTTGTAGGTTGGAGATGCGGTAGACTCCCTTCAGAAAAGCAATCTCTGCACTCTGCGATCGGGCGAACTCGCAAACTGGGGCGCTGGCCGACATGCTCGATGGTCAGCCAGAGACCTTGACTCTATGGCTTCACGGATGCTTACGTATGTGTGGGGCTTTAGAGAGAATTTGGGGCTTCAGGCCTTAGGATTTCCAGAACCTTGCATCCTAAGCTTGAGGACTTGAGGTTGAAGGATGGCATGCAGTTAGCCGCACGTGTGCAAATGTACATTTGCAAGCAGAAGACTTCGAAGCGCGAGGTCTTCTTCTACGGGCATACAGTATAATAAGAATAGTATGAAGGCAACATAACATCGCACGCAATCGTGTACAGTAGCAGACAAGCTAGAGTAAGTAGACAGGGTATCGTCTGTTAGAGCGTGCCGCAAGTTGCCAGGTACGTTGTAGCACGCAGACCATATAACAAGATCTACTTGCAGAGAGCAGCTCACAGCTTGTAAGGACTTGTGTGTGTGTGTGCATGTGTGTGCATGTGCCTGTATACACCAGTACACACTTGCATGGCATAGCACTGACAGTATATAACAGCTTGTACAGGCAAAGAGGTGAGTGAACAAAAATCATGTCGCCATTGATATGCCGTCTACAATGATAGACACACGTAGCCGTGTACCGGCTGTAGACAATTGTGACGAATAGCGTTGCAATTAAGTTTACGGTCTACCACAAATTTCTGGCAAAAGCCAAATGTAGTGTCTCGTTCACACACAAAGCCGCATCCCGAAACTCCATGACTTTCGGGCTTAGGGGCTCGGGTTTAGGCCCCACAAGCCGACACAGCAGTCCGAAACAGAAGCAGGCGCCGGGCAAAGCCACTGGCACAGAATCGGTTTCATCTCCTTGGTTGTCTTTGCTTCTGTGTCCACAGGGAGGCTTCGGAAGGGTTTGGTATTATCACATAGTCACATATAGTGTCAATCTTGAGGCCGTGGGCCGTCTGAGCGATGCTACCTGAAGAAGCCTGACGCTAGCACATTGCCGAAAAAAAGATAAACAAGGCGTGGTGGGGAAGCTGGCAAGTTACATAAATGTACATGTATGATCAAGTAGTACACCATGCATCTAGGGTACCTATGTGTATATTCTCTAGTCTAAAAGCCATGCCAGATTCTGAAATTGATGCGGCCCAGGTTCATCGTGGAAGAAGTCTTCAGAGAGCAAGACCTGCGCAGCAGCCGGAGAGGTGGCAAACAAGCAACTTTGCCAAGGCCAACCATGCAAAAGTAGCCCTCAAACCCCCATGCAGCCCAAACCCTCAAACGCAACCCGGCAAGTTTCTATCAAAAAAAGATGTGCCACCTCCCAAATCCTTTTCTCGAGGCTCCGGCCAGGTGCGGATTCTTCTGGAGCTGCTTGCGCTCGGTGCCTCGTTGCACCACCTGGTATGGTTTTGTGGACTTGGAGAGGGTTCCTTTAAGGGGTTCAATAAGGGTTTAGGGGTGAATTAAGGGATCTTCAGAAACATGAGCCTTGAGGTTTGTAGCCTGGGGTCTACAGATCCGCGGGACGAGAAAGCTTTCAACTCTGGGTCCCAAGTTTTCTGTCTATGCTCTTGCTCTTGGCACAGACCACCTGGAACTTTCCAGGTGTCAACACTGGAAGAGAGCTGCGAACACAGAGAGATCGAAACAGCTACAACTCGCACCATACTTACAACTAGTATGCGATTAGGATGACATTGCAAACCAACGGACGTCCGGAGGGGCCTCCCTCAAGCAAGAAACTAAGCCATCCTAAGGCTTCAAAGTCTCTACCCGAAAGCCCCGAACTTTGAACCCTAAACCCAAAAGCCCTAAATCCTGAACCCCAAAACCCCAAAGCCCTAAACCCTTAACCCCAAAGCCCTAATCCCCTCATCTGGCCTGGGAAAGCGTCTCCAAAATCTGCCGCGCTGAGTGCGACTCTTTGAGCTGGGCCTCAACTTACGGTAGGTTAGTAGGGAATGGAAGAGTCGTAGTAATAGTAGTCATAATTGTACCCCATTCCTCCATTCCCTACTAACCAACGGTAAGTCAACAGGGGTTGGGAGTGTCTTAACGACCTTTGGGTGTCTTTAAAAATTGGGTTCCTTTCAGGCTTTAAGGTTCCTTCAAGGTTCCTTTAAGGGTTCTATGAGGATTCTGTAAGGGCTCTCTAGGCTTCTATGACGGCTTTTCGAAGTGCTCTAGAGGGCCTCGGGCTCTGGGGCATAAGCTTTGGGCATGCTGTGCGGAGAAGTTTGTCGTTTATCTTTCTCTCTTGTGCGTCGCTGGACTCTAGATGGCATCTTTGGAACGAGAAAACTCAGCATACGGGAAGAGTCGCAAGCGGTCCGAGCACCTGTCAAGCCGAGGAGCCCACGGCCTGTAATGCTTGCGTTTTCTGTGTCGTGAGATATTGGCGTCACGGTAAGACAATCAGAGCGATAACGCTTCTGCCACAAGTCCACAAAATGCATGAGCCCCAAACCTAGAAACGGCTGCCGTTCGATGAGAGTTGCGACCAAGAGCACGAGTAAGCTCTAGCGTTTGCTAGCTATCTCAGTCGTCACGAAAAGTCAGGACCACATCAAGCAACACGTCATTCTGGAGTTAGCCCTTACTGCTGTTACTACTGTCAAACAGTTTTCTTGCTATTATGGTACTAGAAGTGAGCACTAACTGTGCCTATGATTCTGATTGTCATGTTTTGTTGTTGTTGTTGCACTCCATATGCTAGAGGGCCGTACAATTCCAGAAGAACTCAGGCTGCGACCGGCGTCCGGGCTGAGTCTTCCGCTGCAAAGAAACCGTCCAAGATGTGCAAAGGCAGGCCTTCTCGATGGATTTAGAGCCGTCGGGGGTAGGGTTGACTCCGGCTGGCTTAGAGTTTTCAGGGCGGGGGATTCAAAGGTTGTTGGTTCTGGGTTGAGCTTTCAAACTCACAGCACAGAAGCGGACTTTACACATCTTCGAAACAAGCAGGCAGCAGCAGCAGAAGCATCGATATACCCTTCATGAGTTGCTTCCAGGTTTTCCCATGCACTGCGTACTATTACACTGAAGATGCAAGCTTGGCCCGGGGCATCCGTGCAGAGACAGACAAGGCCCTGGCGCCACCGCTCAGGCGCATGATGAATGAGGCCTTGAGACATGAGATAGTTCGGCCGGCTTGTCTGTTCACTAGGAAAACCTCGATGGCAGTTGGCAATGTTGCGACGAATGCTAAACGCTTCAGCCAATCATAGATCCTGTGAGCACGTTAATAGCGTACTGATAGGAAGGATGAGGAGCTCGGGGATAATGAAAAGGAGGATGAGAGTAAGTGAATCTTATGATAAATGGCATTATCCTTGAGCCGAAGACCTCAGCATACCTCTGTGGGGGCCGACATGTGACGCACTCCCAGAAGCAATTTTCCTACACTACCAGCCCATGCCCAACACACGAACCCTCTAAACTGTGGTCCCAGCTCTTCGGCCCTGTGGGGAAGTTGAGCTCCGACTTGAGCGGATGCCTCGTAGCCAACATGAGTCGCAGGATAGCAACACTATCACTAGGCCGTGGCATGGCCGTGCTGAACTTGAAGTTCAAGTCCTTGAGCTCGAGAAGATGTCAACTTTCATGTTGTGTGCGAGCTCAGGGAGCTGCAGCACGAGATCCACCTCATCAATCATGCAGACCTCGGACATGTGCTTTGACGAGGTGGATAGTTCAAAAACGGAGCTTCTTCAGGTCAGTCTATGCCGCCCGTGTGCAGGAAACGTGCGGCTACTGCAGGCCTTTGCAAAGCCTTGCCACTACGCAGACCAGAGGCCAACGTCCTGGCTAGACCACACAACCCAAGCCCGACTCTAAGTAAGCCGCGACCTAAAGTTCACCTCAGGACTTAAGCACACCACTTGACCCAAAACCCAAATTTCAAATCCCATGAACACAAGCAAGGTGTTGCAGGGAAAACCCCTCCGAGTGTCACACGCTTTGCTTCCGTAGCATTTGCAGCACTTTGCCCATTTCCAGGGTCTCCCTTCGCAGCCTTGATCCGATCTTAGGCTCGTGCGCTGTTAAGGGAATCGTGTCTACTATACTGCGCAGGTATAGGGGTTAGACTACGGGCTATTACCCATAACCGAGTACTCTAATAAAGGAGCATGAATAAAATTTGAATAGGGCTTTGGGGCCCAGTCTACCATAACTATTTTAAGGAAGCCCCCAACATAGTATAGAACATTATTCAGACCCCTATAGTAGTGGCTCAAAGGGTTTTGTAGGACAGCTACGAAGCAGCATTCCGGCTTCCTGAAGCCTCAATCTTTCAACTGATGCTTCCGAGTGTTCATGCAAGCATAGGAAGCATGGACACATATCACGGGCTTAAACAGCCGAGTGGCTGGGGCGTGTTCTTCTTGGAGCGCCTGCAATACTCCACAGGGAAACGTATGCGACGGCTGCACTTAGCAGGCTTCGCGGGGGCTGGTCCGCAGTTGCGACGCAACGGCAGCGCAAGCTGGGGTGGCATTGGTGGCGGTGGCGGTGGTGGCGGTGGTGGCGGTGGTGGCGGTGGTGGCGGTGGTGGCGGTGGTGGCGGTGGTGGCGGTGGTGGCGGCGGTGGCGGCGGTGGTGGCGGTGATGCTGGTCCTGGTGACGGTGGCAGTGGTCGTAACGGTGACGGACATGCTCGTGGCATGCGGTGGCTGCTGTCGTCGTCGAACTCGCAGAGCCTCTTCTGCTGGTGCGACTAATTGCACAGCCGGGCGAACGTGCCCGCAGCTTAGGCGAATGTTATGCCGTCTGTCGTCAAAGATATCATCGGGGCAGTGCTTCATGCTGATCGCCAGCCCGAGCCTGTCGCTGGAGACCTCGAGCTGCTCCAGAAAGCGCAAGAGGAGGGACTTCACCTGAGTTTCGGGATCATGAAAGAATCGATGTAGGTCTTTAGAGTACTCATGACACGACGTGTGGGGATGTTGGTGCTGATGATATACCGACCCCTGACAACAAAATCATGCTGAACATCATCACCGCCATCATCCACCCCATGGCGATGGGATTGATAAAGGTTACCGACAACCAAGGCAATCTTAACGATAAACCATGGCAATGATGACGATGATATGACAAAGAATACAATGAAATTGCTGGTGGTGATCGAACCTATGCTAAGGATGTTCACGTTCCTGTAGAAAGTAATCGAGACTTGGAACATAGCTCGGGCCAGACTGAACAAGATAAGGACGGCATCAGAACGAAGCTAAGGAGCCTGAGGACAAGAACGACACAGATGAGGATGATCGATGGCGAATATATTAGATCCGGCGGAGGCGATGCCAACGGTCATGTTGGTGATGGTGTCAGATTGAAGTTCTTGTTGAGATGACAACCCAAGGCTGCACCTCACTCGGTTCCTCGCGTCTCCGGGAGTGGTCACGATCAAGTCACCCTGCTGTCGCACCTTGCCGACTCATGCCGTTAATGTTGTTGATGATATTGACGACAATGAAGATAATGTCTAGAATTGAAAGTACGGTCATTACAGTACAGCGGAGTTTCTAGTTAAAGTCTGGTAAGAGGGCTCTGCAAAGTGCCTCAACGTTTTCTGCCAGTGTTTCCGCATCGCGTCCTCTGACACAGCTCATAATCCTAAATTGATGCCGCAGCGGATGAGAACCTTCAACTTTGCTGGTTGGGCCAGGCAGTGTGATGACTTTCGGCTGAGTTCGAGAGCTGAAGCAAGTCGCGAAGGACGGTGTAGGCTTCAAGTAAACAACTTCTGGACACCTCGCGCATGCGTTCCCCCATGGCTCCGGGCAGCGTCCACAGTCAACGAGAAGTTGAAGTCGATGTCCACGGCACGATCACACTTGAATGTCGAGACCTTCCCGACGCATGTTGCAAATAAAATGCTAGTGAAAACTTCGCGATTTGTGGCTTCAGAATCCTAGCCTAGCCTTCAGCATACACGGAAGCCATACCCTCTCGCTGAACTGAATTGAAAGCTGCGAGCTCTGGCACTTTGTCACACCTTCGGGCGACCCACTCAGCGCAGTTAACATCCAAATCTGAACCCTACAACCCTCGTCAGGAACCGAGACCACAAACACCAACGAGCTAAGTCTGAAACCTTAAACCCATCGCCTGCTTCTGGACAACCGAGGCAAATGTGCCCTGCAGCACCGACCGCGAGAACTCCAGAAGGGCGTGAGGAACCACCTGGGGGTGTTTAGAGTCGGGATTCATGGGAGGGCCTGGGTATCCGGATTGGGGACCCCTCTAGGTAACTTTATTGCAGAACGCACATGTGGTAGTGGCCAGCAAAAGAGGCGGCCTGATAGGCCTCTCCCCATTGCATTTTTCGGTAAGCAGGATTTCCTGTCCCTCAAATGGAGCCTACCGGAACGCGTAGTAGTCTGCTTAGTCCTGTCTTTCGATAACTTGAATGCCCAAAACCCACGTAAGCTAAACGAGTACCCTACATAGAATGCATCGAAGAAGACGTGCAGGATATTCAAACTCTTGAGCGACGAATTGCAGCCGCAAAAAGTACGAGCACCGTACTATACTGGGCCCCAAAGCAGATTGTCTTCGTTTGAGGGCCGAGCGATCACGATGAGCCGCTCAGCATCCGCCAAAACGAAAGAGAGAAGAGGTGTGACCACCGTAGTCTTGCCCTGACCTTTAGCGAGTCCATGGTTATTTTTAATTACCAACACTATTACTACTATTATTATTATTGCTGGTATTACTATTATTACCATTACAATTGTTGTTATTTCTCTAATTACAGGCAGCACCGACACGCATGATCCTGAACAACCATCACTTCTTCTTGCTCATCAGCCCTACAGTAGCAGGTGCATAAACATTTCCCGGTTTTTTCGCGGGATCTGAGTGCAGACTGAGGTCGACTCCCATGATCATCTGCTTCACCTGCGCATGACGTCAGAGATCATTCTACAGGAAGCATTGCAACAATGATGCCGTAGGATCTCTGCCAAACCATCGCAACACTACGCCTCCACAAAACTTGCAGCCTCATGCCAAGAATAGAACTGAGGTAGTGCATCCCGGGCACAGCGCTGCTGCCCGAATGGAGGATGTCGAGGAACTCCCCCACCATCTCCACCTGCCGCAAGGCGCGAATCAATCCGAGGCTTGGGGGCGAAGCCCGGCAGAACCCTTTAATGGGACACTTCATGTGCCGACTTCGAGGCATCCAAGTGGCCAAACTCTCCAACAGAGGTTTTGTGTCTTCTTTTCGTACGTGCAGCCTACCAGTCTGAGGACAGAAGCCTCGCTTGATGTAGAAAACAAGCATGCTGATTACATAGGTCCGACTTACATATCTGCAATGCATGAGTTCGGCTGAGGACAGCTGTATACACTCTAGTCCGTGACCATGTAAAACTTTACGTTTCAACCGTGATGGCGATGGTGCTGCTAGCAGCAGTAGCGGAGCAGGAGCACAAGTAGTAGTAATAGTAGTAGTAGTAGTAGTAGTAGGAGTAGTAGGAGTAGTAGGAGTAGCAGGAGGAGAGGAGGAGGAGGAGGAGGAGGAGGAGGAATTAGTAGTAGTAGTAGTAGTAGTAGTAGTAGTAGTAGTAGTAGTAGTAGTAGGAGTAGGAGTAGGAGTAGGAGTAGGAGTAGGAGTGGTGGTTGTAGTGGTAGTAGTGGTCGTGGTAGTAGTAGGAGCAGTTGCGCGGCAGTAGCAGCAGCAGTAACAGTAGCAGTAGTAGCAGCAGTAGCAGTAGGAGCAGAAGGAGGAGCGCGAGCAGGAACAGGAGCAGGAGCAGCAGCAGTAGCAGAAGCAGTACTGGTAGCAGCAGTAACCGCAGTAGAAGCAGTAGCCGCAGCAGTAGCAGTAGCAGCCGTCATCTACGTAGCAGCATCTGTCCCTATGAGCACCAAAAGGAGTAGCTCTGCTATGACAGCAACAATGCAAAATGAAACATAGCAAAGTCGCCATATTGGCATGCACTGCGTGTAGTAGCTTATTCCGCAAGCAGTAGCCCCACGTGAACCACATGCAGACATGGGGCTCAGCATGCACTTCGCACCGTCTTTGCCACATGTTTTTAATGCATCTTTAGCTGGACTTTCGGTTTCTGAAGACACGGTCAAGTCCCAAGAGTCCGAACTTCCGGAGTGGACATGGGGGAGCTGCAAGTTGATCACGCATGGTCTCGATAGCCCAGGAGGTACATGGACCTCCGTCCTCATCCGGCAAGTTGCTGCCATGTCCCACCGCGGCACAGCTGGGGACTCACTTGTCCAAAAAGTGTTTGCCCCTTTGTCTGCACCACACCCACTCTGTATGATGACCTCAAAACCATCATCACGCCCTCAAGGCTTATTCCGAAGCCGAAACCCCAAATCCCAACGCATCTCATCTCTGTACCCTGCAATTTTTGCACTGGAAATGCCCTGTGGTCAGCCTGGCGCGGCCGCAGGAGAAAGCCAGAAATGAACTCGAAGACCAGAAAGCGCGGGTCGAATCCTAGCCCAGGATGATTGGATGCAGGACTGCGTACTGCGGTCGCAGATTTGGGTGTTGCAGTTCAAGCCCTGGCCTGCGTCTGCCCAACCCCGACAACAGCTGTTTTGTCTTCCACAAATACAAGCCGAACGGCCGATCGGAAGAAAAGCAGATCTCCGAAGTCCAACACTGTATCGTGTGTACAGAAGCCCAGTGAAACAGAGAAGCCCCTGGAGCCTCGAGCAATAACCATGCTTGCCTCTGCGACTTCTACTAGCTACTACTGACACTGTCACGATCAGTATCATTGTCACTGCGATTGACCCGGCCCCGACGGCGCCGAGCGACTGCGAGACTACCACCACTACCGCTACTACTGCTACTACCACGACAACCGCTCACTATTAGTAGTAGTAGTAGTAGTAGTAGTAGTAGTAGTAGTAGTAGTAGTAGTAGGAGTAGGAGTAGGAGTAGGAGTAGGAGTAGGAGTAGTGGCAGTAGTGGCAGCAGCAGTAGCAGAAGCATCAGTAGTAGCCGTAGCAGTAGTAATTAGCTGTGGCAACAGCTCAGCAGCAGTAGCTGTCGTCGTCGTGGTAGCTGCTGTTGTTGTACTGGCTGTACTGGCAGGTGCTGTTGTAGTTTCTTCGGTCGCGTTCTTCGTGCGATGGAGATGATGGTCATCGTGCTTTAGCTGTGTTTGCAACTGTTGGTACTGCTATTTTCGCTGCTGATGCTGCTGTTGATGTTGCTGTTGCCGTGTTGGTGGCTGCGGTCGTCGTCGTCGTCGCCGTAGCAGTAACAGCCAGTGTTGATAGCATCTCCATGAGCAAGTTTCTTCTCAACAGTACAACGCAAGCAGGCCTTTCTGGCCATTCTGCTCCGAGATATAGATGCCTGGGTTGTCGGCCCCTTCTTGTGCTTACGGCATGCTTGCGAATAATGGCATCTACACCCAAACTTGGGACAGTGTGACATTAGTACCTCCAGGTCTCCTCACTTCACCTCCTGCAACGTCAACCACGAATGGAAGGTACACTATTTAGGAAGATAAGTTTGCTAACCTCGGGGTGCTTGTGGCAACGTTGCATATCGGTGGCGATGCGCGGCGATTTAGGGCTGAGGCTTCAGGGCTTTGCATTCAGCCTTGATTGGCCTTTCTCACCAATCCGTCGCTCTCCAGGACTTCTGGGGATTGGGGCTGCACTCTCGTAGCCATCTTCCCGGCGCCTCTCAAGCTTCGTTCGCACATCATGGGAGACATCCAGGCCCCAAGCGCTCCGCCGCGATAGAGCTGCAAAGCAGGGAGCTCCTGGATCGGCCGTGTATGAACATCTTGGAGCTTTGGCTTTGGTGTTTAAGGTCCCGATGCAAACCATTTACTGCCCTCCCTTGGAAAACATTGAGAAGTAGTAACTAGATAAAACTGCCAAGATCCTCTGACTCCCATTTCAATTTCTGCTGATACTGTCCGTTGACGATGCTTGTGCCAGCAACTATAGCATCACCTCCGCAGTGAGAGTACGCAGTACGATCCCCATACTCAGCGAAACTGCCTTAATGTGCCTTCATTGTGTGCCTATGTTTTGTCTGAGAGGCGCGCTTCTCGGTCAAGCCGGCCTTGAGTGCCACAGCCGAGCTTGACACCTGGCTACGTGGGCAGCGGAATCTTGGGAAGACTGTTGGAAAAAGCTGGGTTGATAGGGATACGAAGTCACTGTAGACGAACTATCCACTGTGCACGGCGACTGAACTGCGCGCCATACGCCATGATTGCAAACTGTACATAAAAGCGCAAGCTGCTTCAAACTGGAGTGCTCAGAAATGGGCATTGTCGCGGTCCAGCAGATCCATCAAATTGCGGCAGTGGTCCATGGCCTCAAATAGTGGCAACATGTGGCATCTCTTCGTCGCTGGATCTTTCAACACTGAGAGCTCTGCCCGACACACTTGTTGGCGCCGGGACGTCGCAAACATCATCTGCGACAACGCTGCCAACAGCCTCGGGCTTGGATAGTCAAGTCTGTGGGGTCTTCTGCCTCTCGATTTATTACAGTATCAGCTGGCTCAGTTTCAGATCAGTACCACAATGGATGAGTGGTGTCTTGCGATGCGACAATTTGGTGATCTAGCCGTCCCCGGACATCTTTTCTGGGGCGGCGCTTCACTTCATCAATGCGACGTGAGCCTGCAGGTGCAGAGACTCGGTCTTGTAGGGAGATATAAGAGGACCGACGGTAGGCTGCTTACCTTGTCCAGGGCATAGCGAGGGGCACTAGTCTAGAACCAAATCTCAAACACGACTTCACGAAGCTCGTCGCAGACGTTGTAGCAGCAACATTCTTGGCACCCAGGCTCGTGAACGTCAGCCTGCCACACAGGGGAGAAGGGAATCTCCATACTGCAAAAGGAAGCAGTATGTGTTCCGAGTGCAGGGCTCGATTTCTAGCTATGGGTTTCTATCGAAAGGATTTCGGAATGTGCCGCTTCAGGAATTTAGGTTCCGCTTTCTCAAGGATGATTAGCCCAACTGCAAATGCTGCAAAGTGCTCCGAAGTGGGAGGTCTGTCCGAAGGATGGCGACGATTCTCCGGCACACCTGCGTGACGCCCACGATGCCCCGAACAGCTAGACCCATCATGAAAGAAAACCAAAGGTCTGGACTCAAACATTTACAGGGCCGACCCCTCAAGACCCAAGGTATATAGAGGGTAATCTGAAAACGGCGCCGCCTCCGTCAGAAATGGGTTGAAGCGCTTGAAATCTGTCATGCAGTCAGGGCTGAGCAAGGTCCGACCTTAGGGGTGGTGAGACTTCGAGAATACAGGAGCGAGAACCGTTCTGCAGGGTGAGGTTGATGAGATGCAGGAACTCGCGCAGACTGCGCACTGCACCCATCCGTTGTACACTGTGGCTGGGAGTGTAGATACTCTGTATCAACACATAGAGGCTGCCTGGTGCGTAGCCATTGCATCATTTGTGCGCTTGTATGTTTCTGCGAACATGAACAAGCATGTGTCTATGTCTGTGTATGTATGTATGTATGCATGCATATGTGTATGAATATACGAATGCATGCAAGTATGCATGTATGCATGCATGTCTGCATGCATGCATGTATGCATGCATGTATGCATGCATGTATGCATATATGTATGTATGTATGTATGTATGCATGTATGCATGTATGCATGTATGCATGTATGCATGTATGCATGTATGCATGTATGCATGTATGCATGTATGTATGTATGCAGTGTCATTGAATATAAGTGTATTGACACATGTGTATACACATATTGTGTATGTGCATGGTCGTTCATGCGTCCCTGTGTGTTCGTGTGTGTGTGTGTGTCTATACGCCTGCGTATGTGACATTGGTCAGCTTCCTGATGCTTCAGCACAATCACTCGCATCTCTCTTCTCTATTGCCGACAAAAACTGAAATTGCACTTAGACTACTGAAATCCATGATCCGTTCTGGACCCCTCGACCAAAACCATCCGGGGCACACAGCAGCTGGAACCACATTTCCGTCTCATGACCAGCATATCGCAGCAGCCAGAAATGCCTGCACTCAAGCGGGCTGTGGACTGATGCTTGGGGTCCCGGGATGGAAGCTCCGACGCAAGCACAAATCGGGATCCTCCTTCCTGCGGAGACTCGCAAAGTACGCACTAAGGTTGCTCGCACTTCTCAACTCTGAGGTCTGCGCAGCCTTTCAGTGGGGTAGTCCTTGGCTTCGCCGGAATTGCTGCATGCATCCACCGCCCCCAACAGCCGCTCGATGGTCGTGCTGACCTCGCAGGCAGCAACGCGGAACGGCTTTGCTTTCCCTGGTGCTGGTATCGACCAGGATCTGCTGAACCGCAGGCAATGCGACGAGGCCCTTGCGAACATCTCGTCTTGCTTCTTGATGTCACAAAGGCCTGGCGAACGGCATATCACATCCGGAGGTCTGTAATCACCCGTGATTTGCGGAGCGCGCCGCTTGGCACCCATCATATCTAATGCGACTTCTGGTCTCTGTCTTCCCGACAGCCTAGCACCGCTAACACATAGTAGAAAGGTTGAGTTCTGGAGTTCGGCATCTGCCCAAGCAATACTGACAAACTCTACATGCCCAAAGGTACAAGAGACACGATGAGACACGGAGCCTGCGAAGAGGTCTTGCAGCTGGGCTTTCGCCTTCTCCAAAGGCCTCGAGTCTCACAATGTACCGATACATGGACAGAATGGAAGGAACACCGGGTACAAATTCCACATGAATAAATCTGTCTACCTGTCTGATAACCGCATGCCTGCACACACATATACACACACATATATATATATATATATATATATGTATATTCATATTCCTCAAACTGTGGAGGGGTACTGAGGGGTTGCTCAAGCGAGGATTATCGGGCCCTCTGGACTCCGGACCATTCTCGAAGCCCGCCCGCCTCAACATAAACTTGCTGATGTCTTCAGATTCGAGACGGCTGTCAGATGGGCAGTGCATGTCCGCAGATGCGACACGCCGGCGCAAAAGTGTCACACATGCAAGAAAGAAGTTCTTCACAGAAGCTTTCACAATTTGTGCCGATGGTGGCCAAGGCCCTTGCTCCTTGCCCCCTGCCACAATGCCATCGATGTCCATCTCAGTTAGCTTTGGCATCTTCCTGGCCGTGGCAGGGCGGCTTGCCGCCGTATGGGAACTGTGTCATGGGTGTCCGGGGTAAGGTTTCTAGGCCAGTCTCGCGGGTACCCCCCTGTCTGCACAAAGCAGAGCATAGAGGGCATTAGCAATCTCAAAATGTCCGAAAAAAGGCTACACCCCATGGCTGACCCTCCTATGCACCCGGCCTTTGGTTATGCATCTTGGCATAGTTCCTCATCTCCTTCGACAAGCGGCCCATCATCGCTCGAGCCACCTGTTGTCGAGCTTCAGGGGCCGGAGGCTTTTCGTGTTGGTGCCGGGGATTTGGAGGCAGTTCGGAAGCACTCCTCGTCTTGGGCCTGTTGCAAAATCAAGGTTGCATGCTTGCGCTTGCCGAAGATTTTGCAGGGCATCTACCGTCGCGTCGTGGGAAGAACTCTTCCAAGTCAAGAAGTGCTTCGCTTCGGATTGCAAGCTGGCTGGAGATGTTTCGTCCAAAAGCCCCATGCCAAGAAGGTCTACACGCAAAGCCCGACGCCGGCCAAATATCACCAGGCAGAACATCCCTGTGACCAAAACCGACTGCGAAAAATGTCTAAAGCATCATGCCAGTCACCTGCCATGACTTCTCGCAATTGACCCGCAATGCCTGGTTGACCCAGAAGCCTAGAGCTGCGAAGCCCTTGGAGGCACCGTCTGTTGCATGGCCGGGTGGGCATCCAAATTGAAAGGCATCTCCGCAGCCGCCTCAGAAGTGTCAAAAGCCAGGGCTTGGGGCAGGGCTTGGGATCCGGAGCCGCAGGAAAAAATGTCTTGAAGGTGATTCGGAATGCAAAAGCCCACAAAGGAAACTTTGGTCGCTTCCTTCTCCATCCTCTGGCATCAAGAGAGGGGTTCTTAGCACCGTACTTCCTCTGCGGGCCCTTCGAAGCGAAGATGCCTGGCACGTGTCTTCGAGATTTGGGCAGTTTAAACCAGACCTCGGGCCGCGCAACCTGTGAAAAAACGAGGCTACAGGCCTTGCTTCCTTTTAGGGTTCAGGCCTGTTGCAGGCCTGCAGGCTTGATTTCCTAGGTTGCGGCGGCTGTAAGGACGCATGTATGTCAAGGCAATCAGAACGGTTCCTGTCTGTAAATTTGGAGTATTTCGTGGTCTTCTGTAAATTCCAGTTCCACGTTGCTTTCCATCTTCAGTTCGTGCCGGTTCTCAGTTGCCACATCCTTTATTTACCTTCAGAGGTCAGGTGTTTGCGGCTGAATCCCAGGACGTTGCAGGATGCAGGCTGCAGACAACCCTCGTCGTTGAAGCCCCTTCGCGCCAGTTCAACCACGGCGGTTCTTTTAACTTCCATTCGGTCGAACAGGGTTCAGGATGTGGTCTAGAGCCTAGAGTCTGGAATCTAGAACTAAGGCTTTTGATTCGCTTCGCGCTGTCCCTTCAAATTCAACCGTCTTCCTGAAGAAGCATTTCCTCACACTGCTAGATAGTATCCATGCCTCTCTCAAGACAATGGACACCAAATGCTATCTCTACCCCGGAACACTACAGCAAACAACGCAGAAACGTGTAGTGTACCCAGCACCATGCCGCGTTAGACCGCCTCGCACTTCTGAGTATGATTCTGGCTGACCTGCAGAGACCTGCGAGACCTGCACCAACATCGTCTGTATACAGGACTCAAGCCTAAGCACTCAAAACAGGTTTTGCGGCATAGCCTACAACTTTCTCGAAGCTTTCTGAGGAAAGTATTTGTGAAAATGATAACCCCGTACACACTGAGGCTACATGAATCCGGCACGGCTCCCTCAAGCGCGTCTCTGAGCCACTTGTCCACCAGGGCTCGAAGCGGGCGAGAGGCAAACGCCTCCAGGTCCTGTTCACTGACCTTTGGCTTCGGGCTTTAGGCTTCAAGGTGCCATAAGTGCGGCTCATAAGGGTTTTATGCGGGTTACTATCAAGGCTTTACCATCTGCAAGTATGATGCAGCAGGGTAGGACCTTGGGCGTGCTCATATGGAAGCCCCTTGTAGAAGTTGCTGGCAGTTCAGGCTCAAAGCAGAGCTTTCAGAAGACCTTCCAACGCCGCTTGAGGTAGTTTCTCCCAGCAGAACTTGACAACAAGACCACGAGGACTCGAAGTCAAAAGCAGGTTTCCTCCAAGTTCAAGTCACACTGCCGGAACACTTGGCTCAGCCACCGAGTCAAACTCATTGACAAAACTCTCCATGAGGGTGCCAACTGCTGAGCCGGCTGCGCTGTGAAGCTTGGATTTACTCAGCGGCCGCCACGAGCAGCCTCGCTTGCGCCAGGAATGCTGAAGAATCACACGATCCCTCTCAAGTACTGAACAACACACAGGCTAAACTCTGGGCTTCGTGTTTGGACAGAGCATCTTCGGCGAGCAAGCGATGCGAAAATCTGAGGCAAGCAGCCCAATCCCACGTTTACAGGCCTGCCAAGTGTCGCAACTTGTGGGGCGTTGAGAACGAAGTTGACTCCAGAGCTTCGGCTTTTCGGCTTAGCGGGTTTCTTAAGGCTCGAAGGTGGCTCAGAACCTCAGTAGTACTGTCCTTACCTGGTACAAGTACTATGCCGCATGCCTCTCCCAGGCTTTGGAGCTTTGCATCTCCCCTCTTCTCCGGATATGTGGCCCTACCAAATCAGAGGGCCCTCTGTCCGAAGCGGATCCCGTCATGGACCTAGGCTGTATACCGAAATCTTCGCTCGCAATTCCGGCAGCCACGTAACTTCTCAACTCTATCCCAGCCGCAAACCAGAGAGTCCCTGAAAAACGTCTTGAAGACGTTTGATACAGGGCAGTAGTTGTTACTCTGACACGGTGTGTCACTTCAGCAGGCGGTGATGATGTCATTCCGGTGTTTCACGAATGAGAGAGCCAATGGATTTGTCAACAAATCATGGAACCGACAATACATACAGTGAGTCACCGAATGAGTGCACACCGTCTATGTGTATGAAGACATGTAAGCGTACGCACCCAAACCTACCACAACCTGACTATCTGAGTATCTGTCGAGGTAGGTACATACGCATATACATACACACCTAACTACCTACCCACGTACATACATACATACGTACGTCCATGAAGACGTTGCATATGCCTGCGCAAGTAAGTTTGTATGCGTCTAGGAACAAGAAACGGGTTCTCGTATAGCAGTGCCTCATCCATTTCGGGTGCACATGCATGCATCCACCCACCGACCTACCTACCTACCTACCTGCCCACTCACATATGCAAAGACGTACACGCTGCGTATACGTATACGTGCATACACGCCCGCATGCGTACGGAGGTACCCATAAGCGTGTATAAGGAAGGAACTAAGAACTGCCTCTTGAGCCTTGGCACCTCAGCGAACATCCTCAGCCTGCAAAGAAGACCCTTGCAGTGATAGCATAAACGCCTTCCAGAAACTTACGTCCAAAACCCCAAGTCAACCCGACAAAGAGGCTCATCATGGCCTTCGGCCGAGTGCCGCTTTGGCGCCCTTGAGGTTGAAAAGTCGCTGTGGGTTCAGACCTCTTCTTCGACGCACCGGACTCGTGGGGCCAGTGGTGGGGATTTAGGGCCGCAGTGTCCTTCATGCCGCCTGCTTCAACTTCATGGGCAGACTGCTCCATCATCGAGAAAGCTTGTGAAAGTTGCTGGAACTCTGCAGCCACGGCAGCTCATGGCATGTCGCCAGGAAACTGCAAAAGCAAAAAGAAAGCAGCTTCAATTCATGCTTCCTCATGTTGACCCCCTGACATTGCTCCACCAGAAAGGTAATCTAAAGGGATGGGGTTTGGGGGGAGATCTTTAGTATATTGTTTTAGTCATACATTGACATACTATTACGAACTATTTCGACCCCTATATTTCTCCCCAAACACCGAGGATTTTGCGAACCGACTGCTTTTGCCGGGCCTCCCAATGAGCTGGGCGGCAGTTCCAGGTAGATATTGGCTGTTTCGCAGTGGACCTGAGCAATGCAATACGGTAGGGTAGAATTTAGTAGGGTATAGGGTACAGTAGGGCAGGGTATAGGGTAGTGTGACAATATGTGTACATACAGACAAGCAAACAGACAAACGGAGAGATAAATAAATACGCAAATCGATAAAGAGACCGCATATATGTAAACAGATAGATGAGTTTAGAACAGTATAGAGAGACAAATGTCGCTCGAATGCACAAGCAACCAGATCTTCCCATTGCATGTACAGACTATAGACACATATGTATGTTTATGTGTATGTGTGTACATGTGCGTGCGTGTGTGTGTGTGTGTGTGCGGTAAACCCGAAAACCTCCGTCTATCTGTGTGTGCATGTGTATAGATACCAACACGAAAGGAAAGGATAAGCTCTTCGCAACAAGGCTGGATCGAGCATTGATGGGTTCTGTTACTTGCTTCTATTTGAGATATGAGATTCCATGTAATACGTGGCAGTATTGTCAGCACTCAGCATATATGCTGTGATTATGTACGAGTAACGGGGTTCTGGAGAATACTTACCAAATCATAGATGGATCCCGGTTGTGATAGTCTTACTTTGCTTGTGCTGCCATGGTGGCAAGATCATGGCGGTGGCGATGATATGACAAGTACAATAGAAATCAGAAGGGATTTGAAGGCTCTGATCATCTTGAGCAAACTGATGTGGGAAGTTATCTCGAGGCTCGATGAGGATGAGTGAGAATGCAGAAGAGATTGAATGTTGATGGAAATGTGAACGGTCATGCAGCTGCTGAGCTATATTGTGCTGACATGGAGCGATCAACTTCATGACGCTTCCGCGATGTCGAGAGTTTGGAAATCCAACAAACAAGAGGCATTTGCTCGGGGCAGGAGGGGTAATCAAAATCTTCCGAAAGTGTGCCTAAGTGCCAATGTTTCAGGCTGAGGACAACCATTGGAGTCGAGGCAAACTCAAGCTTGACGAGCTGGCACCACACTAGGCAACACTTGTACATATTACAACGCCGTGGGGAATCCAGCAAAACAGCTCCTGAAACTATGCACACCCCTGAATCGCAGAGTGCGCCCGATGTCCTAGACCCATTCAACCTGAACCGTGAAGTCTGAGTGTAAAGCAAACACCCCACATGTCCCACCACAGCAAGAGCACTGCAACTGAAGCCAAGTTCTCGGACCGGCGTAGGCAACTCCCAGAAGTCCTTCGAAGAGATTTGGGTGTTCAGGGCTGACTCTCGGTCTGCTTCTTCTCACTGCTAGTTAGGATTGCAGGCTTCAGAGTGGTCAAAATATCTGCGGGTTAAGGTGATTCGGACAGGTCTGACAGTCTTGGATTCCTGCTGATGCACCAGAATGGCCTGCAAGAGTTGAGCCTTCTCTGATTTTGCGAACCCCTCTCGTCCAGCCATCACTGCAGCACTGCAGATGTCACTCTCAAGAGTAAGCTCTCTTAAACATGAGTCTTCAATGTGCATGAATTCGACAAACCTCTGAAGTCAGGACAAGGCCAAGGGCGTTGTGTTTTGTGTCTGCTGCTTCCAGCACAGCATGATGTGCGATTGGCGCATCAGGCTTCGTCACAATTACGGCTTGCCGGGCTTTAGCAACAAAACTCAGCAAAACAGAAACCGTCAAGCCCTGAATCTTGCACGGCTCGTGTGCAACTCCGTCCCAGCCCGGTCCTTGGGATGGGGGGGCCACCGCAGTTGCAGCCTCAGATCTTCAAAATAGACAGAGCGAGCTGCAGAGGAGGGACAGAGAGGCGCGCATGCAGACAGACAGGCAAACAGACGGGCAGAGCAGATAGAAACTGATGCATCCATGCATACGGATCTACATACCCACCTACCTACCTACATGCCCGCATAACTGCATAGCTATACCTACCTACCTACCTACCTCCAAACTCCGTACGTACCTACGTACCTACATACCTACATGCCTACATACCTACGTGCATACTGCAATCATTCTTACATTCGTGTATCTAGGCATATACATTACTGTAAATTAGATTGCATTATATAAGTATGGGATATGGGTAGTCTTGCAAATATGAGTTTCGAGTCTGGCGTTTAAGGGGGTTTGGTCCCAACTGGGTGGCTGACCCATACGCAGCATCGAGTAGGCTCTTCTGGATCTGGCTCAGCTTGGCCTGCTACGAGTTACGTTAGGCTGTGTGCTGCTAGGAGTAGACGACACGCACCAGGCACACGCCAGATTCCCGACCCCCTGGCATCATCAAGCTGAGCCAGACAGCACCGGAGCTCCAACTTAGAGCGGAGTGCTCTGCACTGCACTCGACAGTTTTAGAAGCAGAAAAAACGCAGGCCTTCCACTGCTTCACCAGCCGCACCTTCTTTGGCTTTGTCAGCTGAGGCATCCTGGCGGACACAGGTGGTCGTACCCTGGACTTTGGATTGATGGTCAAATGGGGTTTAGCCAAAATTCTCAACATGTCAGCTGTGCGAGCTGTCGGTTAGATTCTTAGATCATATATTGCAGCACATAGTGGTGAAAACGAGCGGAACGACAGATTGCTGCTGCGACATACTAGGAGCAAAGTGCAGTTTGGACTTCAAATGTGGGCAAGGCAGAGCTACACAACTACTGTTGCATTGGCCTCCGTGGGCTACCCTATCGAGACGAATCTTGGTTGGAGAGCATGCGCACAGATCGTTTCAGTCAGGCTTGCGATGCGGCGTTCGCCGTAGCAAGAAGAGAACGCGCAGTTGGCGTATTTCGTTGACCCTGGTTCTGGCTCTGTGTTTGTCACACTCGTTGCTCCCCGAAAGCTCAAATCGAAGTCCCTGAAGTTGGAGCGCTCGACGCTGAGAACCCAGCTGCGATGCCGTCTCGGGGTTCAGTGCCTGAAAGTGGCAGTCAAAGCAGCAGTAACGATGACAGTGTTAGCAATAGTAAGTAGCACTAAAGCGAATTTGTGGTTGCTCTTGCCTTGTTTTGTAAGAGTCATTACAATTATGCCAGACCCCAGGCAGCACATGCCCAAATACAAGCCCTGCTATGCTCACATTCTGCGCAAAAGGCTGTATGCTCAGGGATTCTCTTCAACTTCTTGCCAGCGGTTTGGGGTTCATCGATCTGCGGTTCGGAAGCATCGAGGAAGCCTTGCCTTATTTGTTAAGGGCGAGCCGTAGGAAGTTTAAAGATTTTGCACTCCCACACGGATATAACAATACATTCTAATACTATGGTATATTCCATCCTGGCTTAAAAATCACCATGCATTATGACGACTGCTAGCATAGTAGGAACCGTAAACCTTCGGACTCATACGGCAAAGGCCCGGTCTCCCAACAAGAAAAGGAAGGAAGTCGTCAAACCCAGCAACTACAACTCCAAAAACTCAGCCAGGGACGAGGATGTGCAGCACTGAGTTGAGAATGCCATGATTTCTGGCCTCGGAGTGGCAGTTGTCAATGCACGGGTGTAGGGACAGCCCGTCGGAAAGCTCTCGCGTCAGGCGTCTACCCATCGGCAGAACTTGGGTTTGGGGTTTAGGGGCTTAGTTATGAGTCTTTGCAATGTGCTGCTTAGGGTTGGGAGGCGTGCGGCCACTGCAACTTAGATCGGAGTCCATGTCCTTGTCTCTGCCGCACGGCTCTTGCAGGTTCTTCGACTTCAAGAGACGCCATGGCATGGTATGCACGACCACTGTGCCACTGTGCTTACGATGTCTGTTTGCGACACGTATCCAAGCAGGTGCGTTTGGCCAAGGCTCTCACCCTGATCCATTATCAACCTAACAGGTGCTGCTCCTTGGTAATACCCCTGTCGTGTTTACCACTTGAAGTACAGCTCTTATCAACATCCCAGGGATTGTTGGTGTTGCTGCTGATAGTGCTGTCGCCGTCGTGTCGTCGTCTTCGTCCCGGCTGCGGTCGTTGTCCTTGCTGCTATTCGAACGCACATGTCGGGTTGCTGATAGGAAACGACACCCCAAGCCGCAAACGATTTTGGCAGAGGAGCTTAGGATGACCAAAAGATCTGGGCATCCGACGCCAGGTGTAAGCTGAAATAGCAGCTCCCCAAAGGTATGCTGATGCCTCGGGTGTGCTTTCTTCCGGCCATCGTGCATTTCAAGCTCAGGACGACGAAGAATTCGTTGTTCGAAGGGGGATGCCCAGGAATGCCAGAATGCCGAAGCATAAGATGTAGACCTCCTACAGTCCTAAAGTGCCTACAGGACTAGGCGACGATGGAAAACACTGTGAGGTCAGTTCAAACAGCGAGTACTCCCACAGAACCCTTGCGAAAACCCATATGATGAAACCTTATCTTAACGAGAAAGAACCTACTTACGACATCCTGTAAACCTGTCGATCGAAAGAGGCCGCTCTTCTTCAGAAACCTTAGCTACCTCTCTATCTCTCCTGGGCATACGATGCGCTCAAGTCCCCGGGGTTCAAGCACATCTGAACGTATTGATCCAGTGTTGCAGAGTGAGATACGAGCGTAATTCGTTGTATAGGCTCAGACCATATACAGTATACGATAACAGCTGAAAACAAACGGACGCTCTCGATGACAACTTCTCTCTCTCTTTCTCTCTCTTTCTCGGGCTCTCTGTAACTAATCCATTAGTACTGGCACTGAAATTAACCTGCTATGGGTATTGGTATTATCATTAGTAGCCAAAGCGGCTGGTAGTTCACCTCCTTAGATCTGCCCAGCTTGACAGCCACGCTGCGGGTGAAGACCTCTCAGAGAGCTCCGAGCACGGAAAGGAAGGCAAAACCCAGGCTCTGAGGGAGGGAAGGGCGAAAGGGGTAGGGTTTATAGGGTTTAGGTTTTGGGGTATAGGGTTTAGGATGGTTTAGGGTTTAGGAGTAAGGGGCCTCGTCTTAGAAGATCTCTTTTGGGGGCCTTTTGGTCTCGAGCCCTGGAAAGTCACGCGCTGACGAAATGCTCTCGCTATTCCTCAGCCAGGGTTGCAAGTTCAGAGCTCACCAGCGATTCCTCAGAGTATTTTCTGTCTGCACCGAATATCACGACGAGCGACTCCGGAGACGTGCCAAGTCTTGACCAGAGAAACTGTAAATCGCATCAAATAGCCGAGGACCCCTGCAGAATACAGCAGGGCATACGTGCCGGTGTCAGAGATTTGGCACCTGGATGGCGAAGGGCATCTGCACTCCAAATCCAGAACGATGTACAAACTCGTAGAATCTCGTAGAGTTTCATCGGCGAGGTTCCACATTCAAATGCTTTCATACTTGGATTCCAAACAACGGTGCTCTATGTTTATCGGCGATCCATCTTGCTTCCTCTCAAACCCCAGACCCTGGGCAAGGACCAGGCTCTCCATTCACCATCTTCTTGGCATGCTCCATGGCCAAGGGCAGAGACATCCGCCGCATCAGCGGCACCTCCGGCCTCTGTTCCGGGATGCCAGGCCGCGCTTGGGGTTTAGCGTGTGTTGGGTCTTGGAGGAAACACCTGAAGACCACATCCAGACATCTCGAGCCATCTGAAGCTTCTCATGAGCATCCCCCGAAAGAGAAGCCATCATGGAGAAAAATGAATTGCCCAAACTCTACAGCCCAGAGTGCAAACACTTTGAACTCTCAGCTTCAAAAGATGTAAAATCCTACCCCCTTCACTCACAACCCCGAGCCAGCGACCCTTCGGAATCCTCCCCGACATCTTCCCGCAGAAGTAGCTCCGCCTTCGGAACACTACTTTGGGTTTAGGCCGTTCAGGCCGTTCAGGGGTTGGGCTGAGGTCTTAGGATGTATGCGACTGTAGAATCTGTAGAAGCAGGTCAAAGCGAGGTTTTACGCGCACTTGAGACCGGGCTAGCCCCTTCCTAAGTTCTTTAATCGTGCATGTACTGTCCCATGAGCTCACATGCCTTTAGGTTTGAGACGTGAAAGGCACGGCATGGCTGCCACGAGTTGGATCTCAGCCGATTCAAGCACCCATCACATCATTTGGGCAGCATGATGTGGCCATTCTATACTGCCTTCCACTTTGGGCTTGCTAATGCAGCCTGTTCCTGTGTGGAGTACCAGTACCTCGAGCCAGACCTTGGAACTCACCCCTGTGAGGCCGCAACGCCGAGTACTTCAAAGAGCAGGTCGAAAAGGGAGCACATGAGCACCTTGACCGATGTAAGAATGAGAATCACGGTCGGGAGGGTCAGAGCGATGGCCCGTTTAATCATTGATACGAAACAGGAGTTTACAACGCTGCTACAGCCTGGCGCTCAAGAGTTCCAAAGGCCATTCTGATTGCTGCTCGGGACATCTGATACCCCAAGTGCTCGTCTTCTGCAAACCAGGGCACGTTTACTTCCGAGAAGAAACCCAGGAAGCCTGCACCTTCACCCCGAAGCCCTAAGCAGCTTTCGGATCTGATCGCCAAAATGGATGTCGGAATGACAGGTGATTGAAGGTCCCAAAAGGACGGAACTCCGAAAGGCTGCTGAACCTGAACTCACCAACGCGTCGCGCAGTTCTACACACTTGGGCTCTCCGCATTCTGATCCAGATGACACTGCCACTTGGACCTGGCATCACGGGACGAGCAAAATACGGTGCCTGGCTCCACGCCGACGGCGATGAATGCTCGTGCTCTCAGACCAGGGCTACACTCGTCTGAAATCTCAGAGCACAGATGTCGGGAAAAACATCCTCGTACAGACCCAACCGTCTCATCAAGATCGTGAGTGAAGGCTCCGAACTGAAAAAACTAGCTGCTCCATGTAACAGGCAAGTCTGCAGTGGCATGCTCTTTGACAGGCGAGCCTTGAAAGTGACGATTGAATCGCACATGCCCCAGGATGGCTACACATCATCTGCGACATCCGAAATGCTCACAAATGACAACCTGACGACTGATAGATAGTGGAAGATGCCAAACATTTGAGTGGGGGCACTGCCAATGCCTGAAGCACAGTCTCCCAAACCGGACCCTAAGCTCCTTGCCTCCTAAAGCATTGCAGTTGAATCCGAGACAATGCATCTGCGGCCCAGAAATCGAAACCTTCGAACTCTACACTGGCTCCTTCGGATTTTGAGCTTGCACAACGCGCATCTGCATCCTCCAATCCTTAACCCTCGGCCCTTCTCCGTAAACCCTCAAAACCTGCCGCCTCGAATTTAAACCCCTTTAAACCCCCAAATCCTCAAACCCCCCTAACCCCCTGAACTCTAAACCCGAATCCTCGAAAGCCTAAACCACGGAATGCTGAGGAGTGCGCTCTTTCGGTCGCTCTGGACACGACACGGTAAAGGGCCGCTGCGTCAGGTCCTGCCAGCACGGGAAGCTGCAAGCGTCTAGAGACTGGAGTCTCAGATAGGTGGGGCTCGGGCTTCGGGAATTTTTTCGGGATGAGGATTTTGGGTTAACGGACAATGCACACCCCCGAAGGAAGGATCTAGACACCTTGCGCTCTCCAGCTTGGTTGCAAGATGTCCCTTATCAGCCAGTGCAGATTTTTCCGGATCCCTATTACCTCCACTCCAGAGAATGTAGAAAGTACGCACGGAGAACCCAGAAACCAACCTCAAAACTGAGCATGCCTGCAGAGCCGCCAAGTACTTTTCGCGGTTCTCCAGCATCAAAGACGTCATCGGATCCTCGCAAGCCAGATGAGACTCAGGTTTGCCGACTTTTTGCTGCACCCGCCGGGCTCCAAACCCCTTTGCTCGCCCTCTGTCACAGAGAGGCATGTGCGACGTCCCGAGGACTGTGATGTTTGGGCCGGGAAACGGTGTCCTAAAAGAAAGAGCCATTGACTGACTTCCTGTATGACTGCAAGATCCGCATGCAGGCCCCGGAAAGCTGGCACGGCAAGGGTGGTTTTGAGCACGCAATGCATCAGGTCGCTTGAGGCGTGTGTCTTCGGATATGCTACGCTCCTACGCCCCAAACTGCAGGAGTCCTCCTTCTCCCAGCCACCCAACACTTGGGTCAGCACCTGGAAACTGGAGGCTTTGGTATGGAGTCGATGGCTGTTAAACCGCGCCACCAAGAATTTGGGGGTTGAAGGCTGTGCATGTTACTTCGGCGGAATGTCGGTGAGCTCCAAGTCTCGGCTCTGTCTCTCTCCTGATCTTCTTCTTCAGCTCGCCTGTCTTCTGCGGAGGCACACATCAGCCTAAAAACTGGCAACACTGGAGCTGCTGGGATGGGCAATAGGTTGCGAAGCAGAAAAGAAACGCCACGAACCTGTATACACACCGACTTGCCCAAAGCATGCAAATCGGTGTTGAGGTGTGCCCGCTTGAGTGAAATTGGCCCCCTCCCTCTCTCAATGTCTCACTTGTTTGATTGATGCATCATAATAAGATTTAGGAACCGATGTACCGGTCCAATCCAATACTAGAACTAACGGCCCGCCAATCATTCTGGTTCTTCTTCTGCAGGGCATGAGGGGTCGCTCTCGCTCTCTCTCTCTCTCTCTCTCTCTCTCTCTATCTCTCTCTCTCTCTCTCTCACTCACTCACTCACTCACTCACTCACTCACTCTCTCTCCCCCTCCAACCCCAATCCTTCTGCTCGTTGTCAACTCTCCAACACCCTAAACCCGATGAGCGATGCAACGCTCACCTTGAGGACCAACAGTCATTCTACTGTAATGTCCCGCCCCCGCCTCTTTCACCTCCTCGCGCCCGCCCGGAAGCTGGGCAGCGCGGACCTTCTTGCGGATATGCCTGGCGCTTTGCTCCGAAAGGATCCGACACGGAATCCTGAAGATGTAGTTTGGGGGATCTAGATGGATTAACTAAGGATTAAGGATGTTCAAGCCTTTTTGGCTAATGTATTTTAAATTTTCAATCATGCCGGAAAGCAAGGGCGGTCGCGACTTATATCCCGATATCATGGAATCTACTAGCACCGGTCGAGAGCATCCTAGATCCAAGCGCAGCTGTCTTCGGGAGGGCCACGACCACAGCACAAACCCCCTTTGAGGAATGAAATCACCCCCAGCACCGGATTCCCAGGACCTGGCGCCTCGGCGAGGGTACCGAACCCGAAGAACCCCAAGCCTTCAGAACCTCGCCTCACGGGAGTCGTATTCCCAATGCCTTACAAAGATCCCATGCCCTGACTTCAAAACAAGCAAAATCACCAGCGTGCAACAGAGCATCACTAAGACCAGGCAGCTGGGCTTCAGCCACTCCTGAAGCTCGCGATGGTCCTGCGCCTTCGGAAGGATGGATGAAGGGTAGTCTTCGGTGCGCCTTTCAACCTCGCTACGTTGTTACCGATAACCATACTAATGAGTCTTGCCTCGTATAAGACAGTAGGATAATGCTGATGATGCGCTGATACTGACGGTGATGACGGTGATGATGATGAACATGCCCATTGTCGTCGCGACGCTCTAGGATCGGAGCTCCAGCACCCGGTGCTAGATAGGCCGCTGGGCTGCAGAGTGATCTTCCCATCCAAAGCCCTTGCTCAGTCGGTGGCAGTTGCTTCCGCTGATGCTGCGGCATCGGTCAGAATCTTGTGGTAGCGCCTCGCTATCAGGTCAAGTCCCTTCGTCCAGAGCTCGGAGTCGTGAGAGCACGTGGCTGTCTAGCACTGGCTTTGAACAGCCCACATCTCCCTCTCCCTACACAGAACTCCTGCAGCCTCCACAGGCGTAATTAAACTCTAAACTAATATAGGTGTCGAGCGTTTCGCCGGAGTTGTTTGCCAGAGGTAGTATTTTACAGACGCTTCGAGGTCGTTTCACACAAACCCTTGGGACTCTGTGACTTTGCTGACTCTCAGAAAGATTCTAGGTCAGACTGCCAAGGAAAAATGCAGCGTGGCGACCCTACCGCTGAGGTATGGGCTACTGTGTCCAAGGCCCGCACATGAGCTTGACCTTCCCGTAGGTGCCTGAGAGGGAGGGGTGCCGAGAGCACTGCAATACATCCGAAACGAGCTTCGAGACTCACCAGTGCAAAATGTTCAGATGAAGCATCTGTCGATGTCTGTCGATAGGCCAAAGGCCTAGGCCGCACTGCGCCAACTCACTGAATTTGATCAAAGACTCGATGACAACAGAACTCTCGCCTTGAAAGCCTAGATCACCAGGAAGCGGAAACACCTTCCGACCCGTGCGACTTGCAGCTTGGCGGCCCCAAAACTGCCGCTTCATGGCCTGGACGGGGACTTATACCATTAAAAAACTTCGAATGCAGGCTGTCGGTGTCTTGTCGAAGCTGGAACCACGATGGTGGAAACGAAGTCTGCCACGCCTTGACTTCGGCGCGCACGAGTTCCCGCCGCTTGCGCTCGTCTGAGCAGATTCTCAACCTCGATTCATGCAGGCACAGCTGCCTTCGACAAGCAAGAACAAGAAATTGCCTGTCTTGAGTCTGAAGTCGCCTGATGCCAGGCCTCAAACCCGATCATTGTTCCTCCAGCTTCAGCCCTCTGCTGTTTTCGTTCTGGTTCATCACATCTTTGTCATCATCATCACCATCATCATCTCGAGGCCCACCGCTCAAGCACAAGCTGCTGTGCTGAGAACCGTGCACGCGAACCTCCTCGGCCAGGGAGAGCCGGCAGCGCGCTGAAACGTGCGAGAGCTTTCGCCTCGGGGCTGAAGGGCGGAGCCCAGGTTTGGATGCCCGACGTTGCTGGTTGAAGAGCAGATGAGATCCTTGAGGTTCGCAGGTCGGCGTGGGACGAGGGGAGCTAGCGGGCTGACGGCCTCCGCAGTTTGACATTGCAGTTGTTCTTTCAAACCTGAAACACCAAGCCAAGATCACGATATAAGCCTCTGCAACGAATTCCGAAAGCCGAGCGCAGGACAAGTAGCCTTCGACCTGCAGATCTGCAACAAAAATGGGCTGTGGAGATCGTCCAGATTAAGGCTCCACAGCTCAGTTCAGTTAAGAGCCGACAGTACGGGAGCCCGAGTCCACACATCAATGCATTCAATCCAGATAAGGGAAGCTTCGTTCATACTAGCAGCTACTAGCAGCTGCTCGCTGCGCTCGCTGTGCCTAACGGCCAGTACGTCTCGCTTCTCGGTGTTCGATCTGTCTCTCCTTTCCAGCCCCCAACTCTGCACCTTGGACTCAAAGCCCTGCCTCCTTGCAGTTTTCCCATGGCCACTCCAGACCGGGTGCATTGCACATGGCCAGGGTGATCTGCAGCCTCTGCTGATTGCGGAGATGAAAATAATCGTTGAGAACTTGTCTTGGTTAACTTCGGCTCTTAGCTTCTCGGGTAAAGGGCCAATTTTTGCCTCGTGCTACGGTTACAGTGTCGGCTCAGGGCTTGGCTTAAGGTTTACCAGACTTTGACCTGAGCCGACGGCCGAATGGCGTGGGTGTCCGGGTCTGCATCGCCCTGATACATCGACAGAGAGATAGGGCCGTCTAGACATTGGCTTCTAAACTCTACTTGCGTTTGGACACGCGCATCTTTCGAGAAAAAACCGAATGTGAGATCTTCTTCTGCCGTGCGGGGCTTTCGGGTTTCAAACTCTTCGGGCTTCACAGACCTTGATGTTGGCTTGAGGATACCAGTGGGACCTTGCAATCTGAAGCAGCTTGCTTGCGCATCTAGCACACAGCCAAGCGCGGGACGATGATGCTAAGTTGGTTGAAGATTTGCGATTCGCCGGCATCCAGTCCTGAGCGCCCCCGAGTCCAACATGTTATGGCTCTTCCGGCCGGGATTCCGAAGTCCAGGTCGAAAGGATTAGCAAACGCATACACGAGAATAACAACAGTTCAACAAAACAGCAGGAATTGCCCACGAACAGCTCTGATCCCTATATTGGATGAATATTGAGCCGAAACAGAACCCATGAAAGCCCCCAAGGTGCGTTTGTTGAAGGCTCTGTTCGTCCTCGTTACAGTCAGAATACCACAGGTAGGGTAGCCGTAGGTGCCCGAGATTTCCCGACTGCAGTTCCTATCATGTTACGAAGCACAAGGTAGCTGAAGTTTCAGAGAACGGGGCCACACTCAGAAAACACGGAAAGCTCTTGGCAGCGGCAGCACTGAAGCAGAAATAGTTTGAAGTAAACCCTGGCCTGAAAATCAAACCCCAAGCTGCAGACCCAGAACAGTTAAGCTTTCAGAGATTTGGAGGTTAGGGTATAGAGAGTTCTTATAGTCTATCAAACCTCAAGTCTTATCTTGAAGCCCGGGAGTAGACTCAAGCTTGCGCTCCTCATCCCCATGTAATTCCAACGTGATCCCGAGACCTCGCACGAAACCTCAACATACAATACCTTGCGAGACTACACGAAAGTCAAAAGCAAACTGTCACAGCCCATTGTCGAAAATGCACTTACAGAAAAGCTCATGTGGCAGCAAAAAGCGTAGTATCCAGAATTTTAGAGGCTCGGCTCGACATCTCCGGGGCTTCGGCGGTCATCCGTTGCAATGCTGTTCACCAAGGCAGCCCTTAGAAGCGCAGGGAACTCCCGCTTTCCGGGCCCCGATATGGAGCCAAGAAAGAAAATGAGAAGCTTCGGGCCTTCGACAAGGCATCAGCGCTTTGAGTGTACGCTCTGGGGCCTTTTTTGTTGCAGAGTGTGGCTCCAAAGCAGTAGTAGTCCCAGAACCAAAAAGCCATGCACTTGAACTGCGCAGTAAAGCCGTCTGCCTCCTCTGGGGACCGGGCGCTTCACCATAGTTTCGGTGGAGCCATCGCATGAGCAGCAAGTACAGCGCCGAGTTCTGAGTGGGCCTGATGCTGATGGTCATCAATCAGACGGAGGAGGAGGGAAGCAGAAGAGGCGCCACAATGGCGACGACGACCACCGCGATGGATTTATGCTTGAGGGGTTCCGGGTTGCTAACAGGGGCTTTTCGATTTGCGCCGTCGGATTGAGAAGGCAATATTTTGTCTAGGCTTTGGGCTTCGACTCCTAGACATGCATGTCAGCCTTCCTTGATCTTCCTTGTCGGGGGCTGCTCAACTCCCAAACCCTGCAGAGCACCATGATCGAGAAACTGGGCCCATCACGTCTGCAGGAACGACAAGGTCGGGTGAACCTGGGTACGTCCATCCATCTACTTCTGTGCCTGCAACAACTCCAGCAGAAACCGGAGTCATTCTGCTTAGCGTAAGTATCCGGCTGGGTAGAGAAAGCTTTTGTTCCGCGCATTGCAGTTCCACTTGAAGTCTGAACCTCAGTGACAATCGACGAAGTACATGTCCGCATGCTGTTGGGCAGGCGCCACGTCGAAGCTGACAAATCTTCTATATACAGCACTGCTACTGAATCTCTCAGTCGTTCCAGTCTCAATCGGCGTTGCTGCAGTATATCTACGGGAAAAGGAACCTCCGTCATCACAAATCATGCATGGCATAGCTTGCATGCGCAAGATCGTCACCTTACCTGGCCATCTGGTGGTCACCTGGATGGAGAGGTGTATGCAGCATGCTGCCGCAGCGCAACAAACCGAGAAATGCCACGATGCCCGATAGGCTGGAATCTCGGTGCCCGACGAGCAAAGACGAGCTCAGTGGAGAACGGGTCAGAATCGATCACAGGCCTGGGTAGACACGAAAGGCTTCCTGCAAAGCGATGTACATGAAGCACGCTGTCTCTGAGGGCTGTCTCGGGCCCCTGGCCTGAACACCTTGACGTTGGGACCTCAGACAGAGCTCCATCGACTTTGTGAGATTCGGGGCTTGGGATTTGGGGATTTTGGCCTCTCGGGCTCCGGGTTCACAATTCAGGCTCTGGTCTTCAGGGCCAGCGCTTGAGAGTATGAGCACACGATCTAGGTCGCAGGAGTCTGTAGGCGCGGAGGAGAGTAGAACGGCCGGGATGAAGTATCCGAAACCTGAAACCTGAATCGCAATCCCCTGTCGCCACTACTGTGACGCAACGACAACAGACAGTCGCAGAGAGAGAGAGAGAGACAGAGAGGGCGAGAGAGAGACCGTGGAGAGATGCATGTCTCTCTCTCACTGTGGAGAGAGATGCATGTCTATTTATACGTAGTGTCACGCTGTCTGTGCATGTACATATCTATTCATCTGCACTTATTTCCGTTATCGTGTTCTGAAGGCTTCCGCCAAAACCCTGTGCATTACATTTCCAAGGCTGCTGCAAAGCACGTAGAACTCTGCGTTCTCTGTCTGCAGCAGCAGAGCCTGCTGTACCGGCGCATGCTTCAAGCCGTGGTAGCCTCTCGCCCTCTAGTCGTGCAGCAGCATCATCGGGGTTAGCATCCCGTTGTTTCACCCGACATGATGCGAAATGAAGATAAGGCTTGCTTATCTCGATGATCTGTCAGAGTCAAGGTTGTGAGGCTCGGCTCTCTGAGAGCCGAAGGCATGAGGAGTAAACTTCTCACTCTCCGTCCTTTCAGACAGAGTTCAGATCCCTTCAACCGAGGCCCAGGCGTGGGGCAGCGGCGACAGGAGTCTCGCTGCCTCACTGCGCAGCGATGTGGGCGGACCATTCGGCCTCGGAACGCATGGGAATCCGAGCGATTTGTGATTCGGGGTTTGGGCCTAGCCTAGGCCAAAGAATCCATAAACAATTACAAGCAAGGCCCTCGCATGTTCAAAGGCGTTTATCAAGGTCCGTGGGTATAGGCCCCAGATGCAGTGTTCAGTGCTCTCGCCCTGCACCACAATGAAAACAACGCCAAACAAGGGATGATCCTTGAAGACCGAACCCGACGTTCCCAAATCCCAAACCCTCAAACGATCATTAGCCCAACACTAAACCGCCAATTCTCAACCCCAGGTAGAGGCCCGCATAGGCCCGCGCAGAAACAAATCACCATGATCGACGCAGTACAGGCGAAGCTCGTCTCCTTCACATCAAAAAGTCGATAACATGAAGCCGTCGAATCCTGCAGTTTATTCAATATGAAATTCGTTGTGTGTTGACAACATGCGTTGTTATGGACTGGCTGGGAGTGAAGACCTAGTTGAGGGCAAGAAACATGTGCTTCGAAGTGTCTACGGATTGGCGTCTTTGAGACTGGCATCTGACGTTTGTATCAAGCTGCTTCTACGCACTCAGGCTCTTGCGTGTGTGTATACACATATACATATACATAGACATAGACATGGAGATAGACATATACACATAGATATATATATATATATACATGTATGTATGCGTGTGTACGCGCACGTGTGTGTGCATGCGCCTGCGTATGTGCATGTGTATCTGTACGTGTATGTAAATGGAGGTGCATGTACATGTACATGTATATGCATATGCTTGTGTGTATGTCTGTGTGATAGAAACACACATGTACTTGTATATGCACACAGAGAAAACATACGGTGCAGGCAGCACAAGCAACGAAAAGCATGTCGCCAAATCTGCCAGACCTTGCGCAGAAGCTCGGCGCCTTTCTGAACGCTCTTGAAATTCACGGCCAGCCGTGGAAGCTCGACAAGGTCAACGGTTGGATGGCGCGAGCCAGCTTGCGGGTCCACACCTTGGGAAGGTGCTGCTAGCAAAGGCGGTGCTGTGCTGGAAATGAAGGTCAGATACACATCTCAATTCTGAGCTGTGAATCACTGGCGGTCGATGAACACATGACCCCTGCCCCGCCTACATTACCAAGGCCAACGATAGATCATTTTTACTAGGCATATCCGGTCCGGACACGCGTCTTCCCCCCCACCCACCCACACACACACACACCCACACACACACACAAACACACACACACACACACACACTCTCACACACACACAGACACGTGTATATATATATATATATATATATATATGTATGTATTATTTATGTATGTATATGTATACGGATGGTTGCAGCCCACCGAAGTAGTAGGTAGATCCATTGCTAATGAGGGTTAAGCTTTACTTTACAATGCAGAAAGGCCGCACTGCTCCACTGCTTACAATATCTTTTCTGACAGCCGTGGCCACCGAATTAGAACTAAGTAGTCAGTTTCGCTTCCTAATGCCATAGTCACGGTCTCCGGCCTGTAACTCGCCGAGATAACTTTTGCATCGCCCAGCGAGCTCGGAACGGCCGTTTCCGGCTTGTTGCACTCCACCGGGTAAGTTGTGAAACGCTGCTATCCAACACCTAACGCCCCGTCTTCAAGACGGAATTCCCATCTCCGGCGCTCACCACTAAAACATTCAAAGGGTGCGATCCCGACACGGTCACACAGGTCTATGTCCGGATAGCTTGAACCAAGTATGCATTGCTCTACCTGGAGTCCTGGCTCCAAGCGCTAAGCTCCTCAGATTGTCGGCTACCTCTTAGCTGCCGGAGGAGGCTCCTGTTGCAGCTTCAGCGTCGGGTTGAAGACAAAGACTAAAGGTCGTTCGGGTCTGAAGAGGTTTTCGTGTGCTCTTCTGAGGTTCTGTGTAGTAGAGAGGGCGTCGGGCTTGGGGAATGTTGGGGTTCGGGCATTCAGGGTTAGATCTTATAAAGCTTGTTGGTGTTGGCTTTGGGCGTCGAGGCCTTACCGCTTGAGATTGAGTGGCGGCCCAGGACAGGCTTCGAAGAGATCGTCGTAGACCGAACCCTCCCAAATCCTCAACTCCAGAAGCCAAACCCCAAAATCCATTCCGAAAGTCCAAAAATCGAATCCGAAGCATAAACAGTGGCCGTGAGTCAACGACCCTATTGCCTTAGTCCTCAGAGCTTTTGGAGTGGTGTAGAAGCCCCAAGCCCCAAACTTACACCCTACCCCCTGAAACAATAAACTCTAAATCTTAAACCCTGAACCTCAAGCCCGAAACTCCAAATCCTGAAATAAATCTTCAAGAAACCCTAAAGTTACTGTAACCCTAAAATCGAAATCCTAAACGCTAAAGGCACTAATCCTTCAACCTAAACTGTGACAATCTAAGAAATTCTCCTCGTGCTGCCACTCCACAGCCCGAACCCCAAAGCTCGGCTTAGCGTCCACCGATTGCGGCTTCGGGTCTAGAAAGGGGCCTCCAAAAAATCAGAATAAGAATTAAAGGTACATTAGAGTATAAATATACATGATGCAACGGGAAACCGTACGACATAGTATTGCTAGTGATGAAGGTGTTGGGGCTCAGTCTGCAGGCCTTTCTTGTCTTCACTACGACTGAGGCTAATATAGGGGCCTGAATAACCCTAAGGAATACTATTGGTAATTATTGAGGCCCCTATAGTATCCACACATGTGGCCAAGAAGTCCTCCTCTCAGTCTTCAGCTGCCTGGGCAGAACATCATCAGACGGGTCAGGATTTGTGGACTCTCGGCTTGAATATAGGGACCTTAAGAACCAAAATAGTGTTTTTCTTTTTTTTGGGAGGGGGGGTGGTATAGTATACTATAGTCAAATAAGGAACCATTGAAGTAGTATGTTAGTTGCGTCTTCGACCCGACGAGCGAAAGTGGGGCCGACAGGGGCTGCTGCCTGATCTGCGACTGCCTCTGGGAGCCCGGCATCAGCCCTGTTGTGCTCTCTGCATCCAGGGCCTCCAAGGCCTTCGAGATTCTCCATCTGTCGGCTTTCGTCTCTCTTCAACTCGCTGAGCTGTATCCTGCAATGTGTGTGCTGTGCGTCTGTACTGTTCTTGATTTTCTCTGCTGCATGCGGCATAGTAAACAAGACAAGACCCTCAAGCCTGAAGCTAAAAGCCCATGAAGTGCCTGCAGAAAAGCCTGTTGGAGCACCGAATGAAATCCTGCTTCTAACTTCCCTGGGCAAATGTTCTCCTCCATAGTCTGAGCTTCTCTACGTTGCTACAGTACATGCTGCGCAGCTCCCCCGACGAACTAATGTAGGTCTTTGGCTCAAGACCCGCAGCAAGATCGAGAGTCTGAGAATCCCGACGGTCTTCAAGCCTTCAATCTCGGCTTGCCTCTTTGCCCGCCTCTCCTTGCAAGGACTTCAGTTCCATAGGTTCGACGGGGATCCTACCCATAAGCTCAGCACTCCAAATCAAATCAACATCTGCGAAGTAATAGGCTCTGTACCATGATGACGATCACTTCTCACAGCAGCAGCAACAGCACCACCAATTCAGCACGCTGCGGCAAGTGCCGCTGGACGACACAGTGACTCCTACGCACCACCACCACCACCACCACCACCACCACCACCACCACCACTGCCACTGCGACCCTCGCCACCGACACCACTGAGACCAAACAGTAGCACATGTCCCCGAGTTCTAGAGGGTCCACATGCATTACCCAAACAAATGCCCAAAGAAGAACAACATGCCGGACCAAGCTCAGTCGCAACGTCTTGCACCTGAACTTGTAAACGTCAAAAGCAACTTTGCCCCCACGCCTCGTAGGACTCCGGGGTAACTGTGCACTCCGCCTTGCAAGTTGTGTGCCAACCCTAAAGCCGGGTCTGGGATTTACTTCACGCGCCGAGCGACGTTGGCATCTTCTCAGGCCTATGTAGGATGATAACTGAAAGGTCACTTCAAAATATTGACATGCGTCTATGCATACTGAAGCTTGAGAAGTGCCATGCCATCAGAAAGCTGTGTCTTCAAGCAGCACCTCTAAAACCCAAACCCAATATGGCCCAAAAGGAATCGCGTTTGAGATTGATTCGCTCTCAAGCGAGGTTCGCGTGGCGTTGGGGAGGGCGTCGGCTGTGCAGCGACCGAGACAAGTTTTACGCAAGAGCGGGTAGACGCGCGAGAGGGGAGTAGCGACTACTGCACGATGCTTGATGCAAACCTGGACTGGAGTCGATGCCCGCACCCACACCTGAAAATCTTGCCGTCGGTGCCTGCAGGCCACTATTGAACTCCTCAATGGCAGACAGCTCTGTCTGCACGTTGTCCGAGTCCGACCTGGCTGAGCATTTCTGTCCTCGTAGACATCACGTGAGCAGCAGTCTGTTGGAGAAGTTGCCCATTGTCGGAAAGTGCGATTCATCCCATGCTCTAGGTGTGTGAAATCCTGATAATGGACCACACTCTTGCCTTTCTGTGGCCCAGAACCCCCACACAACCGACCCTCGGCATGCCTGCCTCAAAAAGTATACCGGACCAAACTCTGAGACGGCATCCTGAAACCTGACTTGTGCGACCGCGAAAGCCCAAAGCCCAAGGAAGACCATGGCAGCACCACCGAAACTCTTGCAGCTCCACGTCCAAGCGCTTTGCTTCCTGGTACCACCGCATGGCATCTCGCACGACTCGGGGAACTATGCTCGAGTTCTTTCGAGATCTTGGCTTCGTGGCTGAAGTGCGTAAGGATGTTTAAGCTTATGGTTCACAAACGAAAGCCGTTAGCTAATTAGGGTGCGGGTTCACTAGAAGAGCAGTTCCTAGTGTTTGCACTTTGAGCCGTGCCATAGCACCTATCTCAGTCTAGTTCGTGCTATGTAAACCGAGTCATGGACATTTTCACAAGCTCCGGTAGTACAGATCGTTGGCTTCCATACCCGGCCTTTTATACCTGTTCCAGCTCTGTGTCCACACCCTCCTAATCTCTCGAACTCGGAGTCTCAAATTCCTTCGACCACGCACATCGGATCCTGGGATTTGTATTTCACGTCCTGCTCTTTGCGAGCTTTCTCCAATTCCAGGTCCTGAAGTGCACGAGCCAGGTCAGGGTTCGGCACACATCGACGTCTGCGTGGACTTTGTAGGGCTTCTTTAACAGTGAAGACCCTCAGGACCGCATGTGGATAACATGACTCCCATCGCAGACCACGCGAATCTCATCTCTGCCTGCCTTTCGGAGATTACACAATTCTACAGCATCCTCCTGCATATCCGCATCTCAACTGCCAAGCAGCGCGCCTGCATGTCCTTCTTGAAGTCTTCCTATACACAGAGCTTACGAGTGGTTCAAGGTTTCAGGGCATAGTGCTTTCATGACTCTGTCGTGTCTGCCGTGTAACACTCTGCAACCAGGTTCTCAGGGCTACTGTTGAATATAGTGAGCTCAGCAAGCTTCATACTTCCCCACCGTTGCTTACAGATCTTCCCAGACTCCCCTGTAGCTATGAGATTTATTGTCTTTCATGTCTCACGGTTCGACTCCACGCCGTACACTGTACAGAACCAAAAAAACCCAACTCCTTGAACCCTAAACCCCTCAGCCCTGAACTCGCAACCAGCTCCCAAACCCTAAACCCCCCCACTTTTGCGAGCTCGGCCTGAGCTGTCGCCTCCGCCACGCGCATCTCCGCAAGATTCTTGGCGAAGTCGGACTCGACGACCTTGCTTTGATAGTTTTGTTGGTTTAAGATTTTGGGGCTTGGGGCTTGGGGTCTGGGGTTTGTATAGACATATGGGTTGGGGTCTTATGCTGTTGTATGTCGGATAAATAATGAGGATCTTTGTGTTCCAGTGGGGTGGGGGTTTTGGGAATTGGAGGTTAAGGTTTCTTGACTTCAGTTGCTCTAAGATAGGCTTCCGAAAAGGACCCTTTTCTTGCACAGAACTCTTTTTCAAAAGGGTACCTTGAAGGCAACCCTCGACTCGGTTGATAGGAACCCTGCATGGCCACGTTCGGCCATGATGACAGCGGTGATGGTCTCGAGACAACAACGAAGCGTTGGCAGAAAGCACTGGTTTGCCGAGGCTGGCAGATCCTGCTAGGTGCTAGGCGTCGCTTTCCGGACTCTGCCGCGCTTCGGAGGAAGCACACGAGCAGTTGAATTCCAGGCGTTCCGCTTAGGTGTTGGTTGCGCAAGGGATTTCAATTACCGGTGTGGCCGTTACCAAACCAATTACACAAGAGCAAATCAATTGGTGGCAAGCGCCGGGCGCACCTCTTCTCAGATTCTCCAGTATTGTTCAATCGAGTTGCTCTTCTTTCTCGGATTCTTTCGTCTCACTCGACTCCTCTTTCTGACAAGACTTAGTCGCCTTCGATCCGTCCGCTCCTCTTTCTCAGAGTCTCTTGTTCCTTTCAAGCGGTTCGCTCCTCTTTCTGAAATTCCCAGACTTCCTTTCGAGCGTTTGACCCCCTTTGTCCAACTTATCGTCGAATCCGTTCAAGGGTTTCGCGGCTCATGCTCAGTTTCGAACGGTTCGTTCCTCTTTGTCGAAATCTCCTCCCTTTCGAGCGGTTCGCTCCCTGTTCGAAGATTTAGTAATCCCTTTCGAGCCGCTCGCACCTCTATCTCGGATTCTCCAATCCGTTCCGAGCCGTCGCCAAACTATCTAGTCCCTTGCGAGCGGCCCGCTACTTCTTCGCAGATTCAACAGTCCCTCTCGAGCGGAAAGCTCCTCGTTCGCAGATTCTCGAGTTCGCTTCGAGCGTTCTGCACTCTGTCCCAGATTCTCTAATCGCTTTGGGGCGGTTATCTCGTCTTTCTCACAGATATTTCAGTTCCTGTCGAGCATTCTGCACTTTATCTCACAGTCTCTGGTGTCCATATCAAGCGGTTCGCTCCCTTCACTCCTTTCGAGGGTTTCGCTCCTCTTTCTCAAATTCTCTATCCCTTTCGAGGGGTTCGTTCCTCTTTTTCAGAATCTCTCTCCCTTTCCAGCGGTTCCCCCCTTTCAAATTCTCCACGCTGATCCCTCGGTTGTTTTTCAAACTGTTTAGTCATCGTCGAGCGGTTCGCTCCTTCTTCTCAGGTTCTCCCGTCCCTTTCGACGTTCGAGTGTCGTGACTTTCGGGCTGTCCCCCCGAAAGTTTCTCAGTTTCGATCGGTTGCTTCTTCTCTAGGATTTCGAGCGGCTTGTTGTCAGATCGTTAGTCCCTCACGCGCAGTTGGTGTCTGTTTGTCAGATTTTCTAGTCCGTTTCGAAGTGGCCGCACTTCTTTCTCAGATTCTCTGGTCCTTTTCGGGCGGTTCGCTACTGTTTCTCAGATTGCTCTTTCTCAAAATCCCCTTGCGCACGTTTTCTCAGATTCTCCAGTCCCTTTCGAGCGGTTCGTTGTTTCGCTTCAAGTTCTCAAGGCCCTTGCGCGACCTCTTGCATCACAAGCAACTGTCGCTCTCTCTGGGTCTCGTGGCGACTTGTCTCTGTGAAGTGCGGAGCTGTCTTGCTCTAGCTCAGATGCTGGCCTCCAACATCCCAATGACGCCGGTGGCAGCACCTCCAGACGGTAGGGTATCAACATTCCAGCAATTCGGAACTCAACTCGGGAGCATTGCTCCTTCATCAACTACTCAAAGGTGCAGTTACACTGCTGACGGAGCAAGTAGCATCTAAAGAGTAACAAGGGGGATAAAGGCGGTAGTTTCAGCGGTAGCAATACTTCTACTATGATACAGAGAAGACGAAGAAGGGTGGCAATGGTAATACAGGCAACACGCTGCGCCTCCGCGCTCGGTGGCTGCCTGCGTTCCCTTGTAGTACCTAATGCAGAAGCACCATCACTCCCGGGAATTGACATCGAGACTTTAAAAATGGGTTGGGCAAAGGAAGGTGCGGGCTGCAAAAGGGTGGCTACAAGCAACCGGAAGCTCTAACTGGGGTCCAACACCTCGACCTCAATCCCCAAACCTCCAGAGCACTCTCGGAGGACTTTGAGGGCCGTCTTCACGCCGTCCAGGCCCTCCTTCTTATGCCATCCAACGGGAGCGCAGGCATCAGCACCGGTATTGTAGTCGAAAGCAATCATGCAATAGGACTAATCGTATAACAGTATAAATAGAGCACTGTAGTTGCAGCGTGATAGTTTTCTCGTACGAAAAATTTCAGTATTATCGTCTGGATTCCACTGAGACTGACCGTCTGGACCATCCCTCCTGAAGATGCATACGAGGTGGACATTAAACTGTGTGCGTGCCTATGAGGATGCACGTTTCAGAGCAGCCCTCGGTGTGGCCTGCACCTCCGGGAAAGTTTTCTTGAACCTGAGCCAGGACCCCAGCTCTGTAACGACCAAGCCAAGAACCCCTACTGCCTAAACCTGTATGTGCACACATACTGATAAGCAAGCTGCCGGAAATTCCTCATCTCACCCACTGTGCCACGATGCAGATGCAACTCCTGCCTTGCATGGCTGAGGCCGAAGCTGCGCCTTTTCTTTCTGTCTCATGGCAGTGGTATTGACCTTGCCCATTTGTGTTCAGCCGGCTGGTCTAACACAGAGCCCGAACCATGAGCAAAGCTTTCAAACTTCACAGCTCCTACATAATGGCTTCCTGAGCACATACGGCAACCTTAAGTTCTTCATAAGCTTGAGTCGTCTTAGCCTGGCTACGCCCAATCCTTTCACCGACGGGAATCCTCCACACTCGTAAGTGATGCGGGAGTGTCCGAAAATTAGGGATAGCTTATTTTGGGGTCCTTAAGGATCCTACTATTTAGGGTATATTAGGTCCCTATTTTCGGAAACCCCCATATAGGAGCTTAAGACTTAGAGAAGACTTAAGACTTATAGCTGTCTCATTCCTCCATGATCGCTATCCACTGTCACAACACAAAATCTGGCCAAACGCTCTCCTAATTCCCTATTCGTACCGGCTAAACCCCAGGATGTCCGAATCGGAATTGTGCGAAGAGAACTTCATAACCTTGCTTGCAAGTCAGACGCCCTTTAGATACCCAGCCAAGATCCCCGCACCTCACCTACGTGTAATATCCTTAACCTCAGCATGGAACGTGAAACCCCAAACACATTGGCCTGGAACTCCCCAATGGTCACCAGCGCTTTCTGGAGGTCTGCAACTTCCTCCTGCTGGAGTCCATTTAGGCTCCACTTTAGGCTTATTAGTGTTTGGACCTGCTATATCACGAGCTTTTGGTCTCAAGTCTAGCACCCAACCAGCACTTCGTAGATATTGAGGTGACTGCTGTTGTCGCGATGTCAGTACTATCCGAGACACTGACATGAGATGGCACAAACTCTGTAGCACTACTGATGTTGTTCTGTTTTGGTGGTTGGTTGTTGTGTGGTTCTTTGCCGGCAAACCCATGCTCGCGGCAAAACGAGAACTTCGGGCCATCATGCTCAAAGATGTGATACTGGTTGGGGTTCATGTTTCAGGGTAGTTTCGGGATGAGAGCCTGGGGTAGTTTGCATGTTCAGGGTTCATCGTAGTGTGGGGCTTCGACGGGACTTTGCAGACCTTGTCTTTGCGAAGCTTTCATAGTTCTCCTCACACTCTCCTGTAAACCGCCGTGCACACCTTTCCCGTGCCTTCAGCGCGGCCGACTTCGAAGTAGCTGCATCGATCCTAATGCCAAGTTGGTGGGGCTTTCGAAACAGGTCGCAGGACGTCTCCGACAGTTTGGGAGTTTGCCTTGGTTTAAGCTTCTCCAACATCTCAAAGCACTGTTACAAGCTACGCACATCGGACTTGTCCTGTCATGGAACCTGAACTTCCAAAGAGAGCCTTACGCGTTTCAGGCTGTCTTGGGGCCTCCTGACGTTGGAGGCGGCTATGATCATCGACTTACACTCTTATACTCTGCAGTCCCTGGCGGACGTTGCACACAACCGACTACTGCTAAGCCACTGCCTCAGGGTGCTCACTGCTTACAGACCTCGCACCACCAGATGCAAAAAGGACCCGTTCCTGGAGTTCTGATAAGACCACAGAAGCCTAGGCTTTGGATTGGTAGGGCTTCGACAGCCGTGCTTCCGAAACTCTGTCCAATGCCAGCCCTGCTGGCCCCCAGCCACAACCCTTGAAGAAGACAACATCCGGGCAGTGGTCTGGCCGAGTTGCTTTGTCTGCAGATCTTCGAGTTCGGATTGTTTGCCCTCCTGCTTGGACGCGGCCTCTCGAGGGTGCAGAGCGTCCGGCTTTGGCAAGATTCTTTGGGCATCGGAATATGTTGGGCGCCGTGCCTCTTGGCCGTGTTTTGATACTTGCAGTATGTTCCGGACTGTCAGATCTTCCCCACTACAACCCCTATGTGAAGCGGCAATCCTAAACTGTCTAAGCCCGAAGCCTATTTAGAGCAAGCAGATGCTAACCCCACACCTCATACCCTATACTCCCCCCTACACTTTTACCTCAATTCTCAACCCGCCTAACATTTCAACCCTTAAATCCCTGAAAACACAAAGCACCTCCTCACAATCAATACAACAATCCTGAAACAAAGCAACCTACCAAACCCAATACAACAATCCATAACACAATCCAAAACCCAAAGCACCTAAACAAACCCTGCCCTCAACTATTCTACACCAATTATCCTAACATGAGGTGTGGGGTAAGACCCTTATAGAAAAATCCCCAAAGTCCGTAACCCTGAACTGGGAAAATGACGCTAGGCAAAGCCTCGCGAAGCTCGCAATCTCGCGACCCTTACATAGAATAATATATTAACAAAATTAATTGTTAGTATATTATGTTAAGAAGTCATCAATGTTTTTAAGGTGGTCTGTGTCATTTCTTATTGGTGTTCGTTTCTTATATTCCACTGTGGATAAATAAGGATATCTGGCATCCATAAACCTTTCAAATGAAAAATCGTCTTCAAAATGTGCTTCCGCTATTCGTTTATTAATCCATACACTGGTTTCATTTAAAAACAATTTATATTTTAATTTTCCTAATGCTTCATAACTGTATATATGTTGTGAAATTATATAAATTAC